AAAAATCCACATCTATCTTGGAATTCCTTGTTTGAAAAGCTTGTTCTTTCAGAAAAAGCAGACTGGAACTGTTGATTAAGTATATTTGCTTTATCTAAAGGATCTGAATGTGGAATCCATGTACACTCCCTATCGGGATTAACGGAGATGTGTCACTAACGTATATTTACGTTAGTGACACATCACAATTTTTTTACAAGGACAATCCCCACCCCAACACAAAGGGAGTGCTAGTGTAGGATTAAATATTGTCCGACATGAAATTATGTCCACCGGACACTTTTTCACAGTAAATTGTGTCCACGGACATAATTTTATTATGAAATATTGTCCGGACGATATTTACCTATGAAATAGTGTCCACAGATGCGAAAAAGTGTCCTTCAAAGAAAGGACAATATTTTAATATGAAAAAGTGTCCTTCATAGAAAGGACAGTGTCCACTCTCATTACTTACAAAATGTATAAAAAGCTTCGGTTCTTTTATCTAAATTGAAGCTTTAAAATAAGAATCGGGGTTTTGTCTCAATTAAAACATGACATGTAAGCTGGAGTATTGAATTCATACAAAATGTGATCATCACCATGTGTAATAAAACATAAATTACACAATAAAACATGTACCAATACTTGTAACAAAAACATTAATATATTTAATAGTACTTAATATGAACTATGTGGATAATAATACATGTAATCTATTTCCATTTACAAATTCATGTAATATTCAAGAATAGTACTCATAAGTACTGTTCTTCCTTTATTTGGCCTTTCTTGTTCTTTTAATAGAGGTTGTGACAGTTGAGGCTGGTGGATACTTTTTGTTGACATCTTTATAGCTAAGATAATTGTTGAAAATGCTTTAGATTCAACACCTTACAATTTTTGTTTTTATCAAATTATAACAGGTTCTTAATTGGTTTGTTTTAGTAATAGAAAATTAAATGAGATTTTGAAGCCAAAACATTTCAGTTACTTTTTTATTATCTCCCTTTAAAGGACACTTTTTACTGTGAAAAAGGTGTCCTCTTATTGAAAATCAACCTTTGCAGGACAAAATTTAATAGTATTTATCATGAAAATATGTCTAATTAAATGGACACTTTTTCACAGCATCGGTCACATTTAAATATACCTTTTCTGTGAAAAAGTGTCCAGGTGGACACTTTTTCACAGCCGGGACACTCTAGGACACCGGGAAGTCTGTTATTATGGTGGAGGAAGCCGAAGTACTTGGAGAGAACCACCGGGCCACTCGGCGGAAACAGACAAACCGGAGAGATATCAGAAGATTGATCTCACGGTCAAAGTAGGGAACAGCTTTGACCAACCGAGGCCCCCAAAGTACCCATTCTAGTTTAAATTCCGGTCTAGGTACCAGAGAAGTGTGTTGGAGGGTGAAAATCACCCTTGTGATATACTGAAATTTCCGGCGACCCGAGTCAGAATCGAACCCGGGACCTTCAGCACTGTAGCCATCAGTCTTAACCACAAGACCACTAACCCACATAAAGCGCCACCGGAACCAACCAACTTACTCATTTGGTAATCATATTATCTTTTTATTCATGCTATGTTCTATATCACACATGACTTTCTCAATTAGTATTCATATTATCTATTCATGCTACGTTCTATATCACATCTGACTTACTCATTTGGTAATCATATTATCTATTTATGCTACGTTCTATATCACACATGACTTACTCATTTGGTAATCAAATTATCTATTCATGCTACGTTCTATATCACACATGACATACTCATTTGGTACTCATATTATCTTTTCATGCTACGTTCTATATCCCACATGACTTACTCATTTGTATTCATACCTATGGATTTATGCTAGGTTCTCTATCACACGACCTCTTCATTTGTTACTCATATGATGTGTTCATGGTAGATTATCTAATACATGAATTATATAATTACTAACTTGGTATTCATACGATGGATTTATGCTAGATTTTCTGTCATATGACTTACTCATTTTCATTTACATGCGTAGAATGGCTTTATGATAGGTTATCTCTCTCATGAGTTACTTATATGGTACTCATATAATGGGTTCATGATATGTAATCTATCACATGACTTACTCATTTGGTTCTCGTAGAATGGCCTAATGATAGGTAATCTCTCTCATGACTTACTTATATGGTACTCGTATAATGGTTCATGATAGTTTATCTATCACATGACTTACTCATTTGGGTACTCGTAAAATGGGTTCATGATATATTATCCATCACATGACTTGCTCATTTAGGTACTCATATAATGGGTTAATGAGAGGTTATCTATCACATGACTTACTTATTTGGCCCTCGTATAATGGGTTAATGATAGGTTATCTATCACATGACTTACTTATTTGGCCCTCGTATAATGGGTTCATGATTTGTTATCTATCACATGACTTACTCATTTGGTACTCGTATAATGGGTTCATGATAGGTTATCTATCACATGACTTACTTATTGGTACTTGTATAATGGGTTTATGATAGGTTATCTATTTAATTTTGAAATTATCAATTTCCCCCACCTTAGTAGCAATATACCAACTGCACCTGCATATGGGATATACATTTTCCAACTCATTCGGTATTCAAGAGCTTGCAGATGCTACTCAGACTTTGTATAACGTCACCAGTGTCTAAGCAGAAAGTTGATGAACCAGTGGTATGTTAAAGAACATCTCATCCTTTTTCTAAATAAAATGCTTCGCTGAGTACAGCTGGATACGACCGCAGAGGTCCAACCCTGAACAGTTGGGGCAAAAATGGACACAATATTCGCGCTTGATACAGGTCTGAATTTGGATTGTAATTAAATATTTGACACATAATAGGTTTTTGACACAGAATAACTGTAGTCAAAGAACTTAGAATTGGTTATATGATTTGAATTTATATTCAATTTTTTGCTTTTGTGCAATACACCATGCTGTTGCATATTGACCCCCCCCCCCTTTATTTTGCAAAAAAAATAATATTTGAAGAAATTTTCTTTTAAATTTCTGAAATCTGAAATGAGAAAAAATTGCTCCCCCCCAATTTTTTTTTCACCTCCCCCCCCTTTTTCCAAAAAAAGATTCTTTCCCTCAAGATATGGTCATAATCTCAATTCAAATTTCCAAATGGAGTTTGCAACCATAATTACCAATTTAAATGCATCAAAAATTCTTAAAATAGAAAATGACATACATAATCATGGCTAAAATTAATATTCCTTTAAAAGCAACTTCTAAAAATTAATTGACAGCTAATCACCTCATGACAATACAACATCTTTATACATAATTTAAAAGCAATGTAAGGGAGGTAATCCAATTTTTTTTTTAATACTTTAAATGTATTTGGATTACCTCCCTTTCACTGCTTTTAAATTGTCCATTAATCAGGAAACCCTTGTTTTTCCCCCTTTTTTGCCCCTAATTCCTAAAGGGTTTGAGCCATAACCCCCTAAAGTCAATCCTAACCATCCCTTTGTGGTATGGAAACTTGTGGTATAATTTCAGAGAGATTCATACACCGTTCCACAAGTTATTGTCTGGAAACTGGAAAAATGCTTATTTGGGACCTGTTTTGGCCCCTAATTCCTTAACTGTTGGTACCATAACCCCCAAAATCAATCCCAACCTTCCTTTTGTGGTATTGAACCTTATGGTAAAATTTCATAGAGATCCATTGACTTAAACTAAAGTTATTGTGTGAAAACCAATGTGTCTTCGGACGACGACACCAACGTCATACCAATATACGACCGCAAAATAAAAAGTTCATCGGCAGTTACCAAGATCTTGTTGATAAATATTCTGTATCAACTTCACAAATAATACACAATGGTCTTGAAGTATAGATTCTAGGTACTGACATTGTTTATCATCTTAATCAAGAGTTATAGTATTCTTTTATTTGTCTCTGTAAATTATTACTTTTACTATTAGTCTATTTTTGGTGATGTCCATTTGACATGGCTCGGTACTTGTACATCCCGTCATTGTGTTGTTGTATTGTGTTAATTTTTGTGTTTTTGTCTTTCGTATTTGCTGATGTGCTTTGTCTATATGCCATTTTGTTTTTCTTTGTTGACATATTTGTTTGTTTTTATAGTGATTAAGATTATAACACAATGCTGACTGCTGTACCCTTATTTTTGACATTTTACCTATTATGTCTGTTTCTTTTGTTCACACATCCTTGTCAATATAATGGAATTTTATGTGACTATCATTCAAATGAGAGGTTTAGCTAGCTATAAAACCAGGTTTAATCCACAATTTTCTTCATAAGAAAATGCCTGTACCAAGTCAGGAATATGACAAGTGTTATATATTCGTTTGATGTGTTTGAGCTTTTGATTTTGCCATTTGCTTAGGGACTTTGGGACGTTTAGAATATTCCTTGTGTATTTTTTTTATTTTACTTCTTAATTTGCCATGGTGTGATAAAAGATGTCAATGCATAAATCATTAAAATGAAGATCAGGGTGTCGGTCTAGTACTAAACATTGTTCATAATATATAAAGTACACATGTTCAGTCTGATATGCAAGTGATAATTGCTATTGAGCTTTAAACACAAATCCAACATCATCATCATTGTTGTGACAATTATTTTCAGAATCAATCAGTAGAAAAACAATTGCTTTTGCAAAAATAAAAACTCGCATTTTAAATTGAGTTAGCTTTTTTGTATTCAGCGTTTCATGAAATAACAAAAATTAAACTCCCCTTTTTATCCATTGGTCAACAAACACAATAATAAATGCACAGGAATTTCTGAATTTAGATAAACCAAAATATATGATTTAATCATACACTGGTTATCTCCCCTGATACTAGTGTATACTTTTAAGTGGTTTATTGTTCACAGAATGAAGCAAAGTCGTCAGCTCTCCTTATTTTCCTACAGTCCTCGTTTTGATTGATTTGTTTATGAGCTTGGTTCCTTGAAGGCGAGAGTGAAGAAGTACAAACAACTGCTGAATCACAATGATAAAAGCTTTTTAATAGATGAGAAGAGTACAAAGACTACAACTCAATATAACAAACTAACACCATGATAACAATTAAACAATACATAAATTAAGCTGAAATATAAAATAATTTAAAAACATGTCATTATTCAATTGTATATTGTTTGAAAATAAAATGTTCAGATATACAAGTTTAAAATTTCAAATAATATGACTTTCTCAAGATTGCTATTGTAAAAGTGTAAAAACTCCAAAAAATGCTTACCAAACACTGCTTTTAAAAGTTAACTGTAAAAATTAAGTCCTTTTAACAGTAAACTACAGAAATCTGAAAAAAAAGAGACTGCAGGATTGTATGTCCTGCTTTAACAAATTCCATCCCAGGAGACAAATAAGTTTACCTTATCAAAGATGTATATCAAAATTTAGTTACATGCAACAGTTGTGGGCTTATTCATGAATAAAAGACAAGAAAATATTGCACAAATATGCTAAATTCAGGGGGAGCTAATTAGAATGCTTAGTCAATAAAAGTAACTTAGAATTATACTATATTATCACACATGTTTAACAAAAAATCTTACCAATAATCAATAAAATCTGATCAAAATAATTGATTTAATGGGTCTTTTATAAAAATAATTGACCTTCATTACTTATGGAGTAAATTATCCTATGGAAACATTGCAAAGTTTATTGTCTTTATATATAGATTCTTACATTGGTACCAATGGGTTGTTAGAATTATCCAATCTAGGATAGTAATATAATCGAATTTTAAAGTCTGAGCCTCGGCAAGGACTTTAAAATTGATAATTTAAGTATCAAGATTGGATAAATCTGATTATCCACGAGTTACTATGTGAGAATCTGTTTCTCTAATGATTATTAAATATATTTTTATTTTTGATAAACGAAAATCCCCTTTGAGTGCCTTCCAAATTCTACAAAGTTGTCAATTTCATACCAGTTAGCTCAATTTGATTCATCCAGTGAGCTTATAAAGGTTATGACCCATACACTCATCCAATTATCTTCTGAGATCATCAGCAACCACACATAGATTTTTTTTTATATAATTTGTCTGGAAAGGGTTAAATTGCCAAAGAATTACATTGAATTAGAGAAAATATTATACAAGATTTGATATATATTTTGTACATTGTGTACCCTTTAATGAAGACACACAATTTAATCTCATACTTCTGTCAGTTGTCATATAATGCATATTAAAAAATAAAGTACTTTATAAGAGGTCAACTAATCTACAATACATAAACATTATTAAGTTTATAAAAACCTACTCCAAAATGATAATTAGTTAGTATTTCTAGGAAAGTGAAACATAATATAATAATATAATGCGGTTTATTTGTGTCTACATAAATAACTAGAAAGTCTTGTAAATATCAATCTATACAAGAAAAGTCTCATATAAACTATGGCACTAACTGGGCACACACTGAGGTATAACTTGTTTAATGCCCTCAATATTGAGTAATGTCAATAAATATAACAAGATGAACATCTGACATCAAAGTGTATGTACTTGAAAACAAGAACATGTAATTTGTATATATCAGATGTCATTACTGGATCTTTATTGTTTACCAGGTGCTCCATCATATGGTGTAGACTAAAATAAGAAAACATTGTTTAGTAAATTGATTACATAGAAGAAAGGAAAAGTTGAATTATTGATTATAAAAGAAGGTGTTATCTACTCAAGGGCATAAAACAATAGGCAACTTTTCTATTTTAACGTGTTCTGAACTAGCTATTTAACAAACTTTAGCTGACAAAATGATTTTTCTGGTCAAATGAAGGTAATCCCTTTAAGGAATCTGAGTCTGTGACTGGCTAAATCAGAAAATGGCTCCAGATTCAGAATCATGAAAGGGAATAGTATAGATGACAATGTTACATTGAGAATATTCGGTGATGCTATTTATACCAGAAAAAGAAATTTGATCTTCAGCAATCAATATACAAGATTTGTTGGATTTAACTAAAAAATCAACCGGCAGGACCAACATGCTTTGCTTGCAATCAAATATGTACTGCTTCAAAAATGTTAGGACCAGGCTTAAAAAAAAACCCATTCTGTTCATTGTAACAATACGATTATTGTTTGCTTTTTATCACCGCTGATAATTATATATTTCCACATTATGTGTTGCATATTTCCACAATATGCATTCCATTCAACCTTAAAAGTTAAATAGTGGTTTTCTTAAGTCTATAAGATAACTTTTTCAAGTTGTCCTTTTTTTACAGAAGTATTGAATTTTTTAAAAGCTCATCTCTTAACTTAATACAAGTCTGAAAATAAATATGGATGAAATACTTATTAATTAAACCATTTCTGTTCAAAGGGAAATAACTAAAACTTATTTCCATGAACCAATAACTCTTTATGGGGTCAATTGACAATCTTGGTCATGTTGACTTATTTGTAGATCTAACTTTGTTGAACAATTTTGCTGTTTACAGTTTATCTCTATCTATTATAATATTCAAGATAATAAAATGCTTCGCTGGGCGCAGCTTGATACGACCGCAGAGGTCGAACCCTGAACAGTTGGGGCAAGTATGGACACAACATTCAAGCTTGATAATTTGGATTGTGATTAAATATTTGACACAGCATAGGTTTCTGACACAGAAAGAATGTGGTCTAAGAACTTGAATTTTTTTAATTTACCTATTATGGTCCAATGTCCAAAATCAAAATACATGGTTAGATTCAGCATATCAAAGAACCCCATATATTCAATTTTTGTTGAAATCAAACAAAGTTTAATTTTGGACCCCAACTTGGACAAACTTGAAAACTGGGCCCATAATCAAAAATCTAAACACATGTTAAGATTCAGCATATCAAAGAACCCCAAGAATTCAATTTTTGTTAAAATCAAACTAAGTTTAATTTTGGACCCTTTGGACCTTAATGTATACCAATTTAAAAAACAGGACCCAAAATTAAAAATCTAAATACACGGTTAGATTTGGAATATCAAAGAACCCCAATAATTCAATTTTTGATGAAATCAAACAAAGTTTAATTTTGGACCCTTTTGACCTCAATATGAACCAATTTGATAGCGGGGCCCACAAATAAAAAATCTAAATACATGGTTAGATTCAGCATATCAAAGAACCCCATATATTCAATTTGTGTTGAAATAAAAAAAAGTTTAATTTGGACCCCAATTTGGACCAACTTGAAAACTGGGCCCATAATAAAAAATCTTAAAACATGTTTAGATTCAGCATATCAAAGAACCCCAAGAATTCAATTTTTGTTAAAATCAAACTAAGTTTAATTTTGGACCCTTTCGACCTTAATGTAGACCAATTTAAAAAATGGGACCCAAAATTAAAAATCTAAAAACACGGTTAGATTTGGCATATCAAAGAACCCCAATAATTCAATTTTTGATGAAATCAAACAAAGTTTAAAATTGGACCCTTTTGACCTCAATATGAACCAATTTGATAGCGGGGCCCACAAATAAAAAATCTAAATACATGGTTAGATTCAGCATATCAAAGAACCCCATATATTCAATTTGTGTTGAAATAAAAAAAAGTTTAATTTGGACCCCAATTTGGACCAACTTGAAAACTGGGCCCATAATAAAAAATCTTAAAACATGTTTAGATTCAGCATATCAAAGAACCCCAAGAATTCAATTTTTGTTAAAATCAAACTAAGTTTAATTTTGGACCCTTTCGACCTTAATGTAGACCAATTTAAAAAATGGGACCCAAAATTAAAAATCTAAAAACACGGTTAGATTTGGCATATCAAAGAACCCCAATAATTCAATTTTTGATGAAATCAAACGAAGTTTAATTTTGGACCCTTTTGACCTCAATATGAACCAATTTGATAGCTGGGTCCACAAATAAAAAATCTAAATACATGGTTAGATTCAGCATATCAAAGAACCCCATATATTCAATTTTTGTTGAAATCAAACAAAATTTAATTTTGGACCCCAATTTGGACCAACTTGAAAACTGGGCCAAAAACCTAAAATCTAAATACATGTTTAGATTCAGCATATCAAAGAACCCCATATATTCAATTTGTGTTGAAATCAAACAAAGTTTAATTTTGGACCCCAACTTGGACCAACTTGAAAACTGGGCCCATAATCAAAAATCTAAACACATGTTTAGATTCAGCATATCAAAGAACCCCAAGAATTCAATTTTTGTTAAAATCAAACTAAGTTTAATTTTGGACCCTTTGGACCTTAATGTAGACCAATTTAAATAAACTGCTTCGCTAAGCGCAGCTGGATACGCCCGCAGAGGTCCAACCCTGAACAATTTGGGCAAAAATGGACACAATATTCAAGCTTGATACAGGTCTGAATTTGGATTGTATTAAATATTTGACATATTATAGGTTTCTGAATAAATGTAGTCAAAGAACTTGAAATTGGTTATATGAATTGAATTTATATTCAATTAAAGATTTCAAGCTGTTGTGCAATACACTGTGCTGTTGCCCAATACTTAGTAAATCTGTTGTCAGACTATAAACAATTAAAGTTCAATTAATTCTCAATGTCATATTAGAAATTTATGAAAATGTAAAGGGAGCTTACATCAATAGATATAAACAATTCACCAAAGTTTCATGAGAATTGCTGACAGCATTTTTGAGTTATTGTCCGAAAACTTGAAAATCCCCCCTTTTTTAATGAATAAAACCCCATAACTCAGAATTGTAAAATGTAAAATTTATAAAATTCTAAACAGAGCTTACATCAATAGATATAAACAATTCACCAAAGTTTCATAAGAACTGCTGAAAGTATTTTTGATTTTTTGTCCGAAAACTGGAAAATCCCCCTTTTTTTATGAATAAAACCCTGTAACTCGGAAACGTAAAATCTAAAATATATAAAAATCAAAAGGAAGCTCATGTCATTAGATATAAACAATTCTCCACAATTTCTTGCATGTTGGTGAAAGCATTCTTGAGTTATTGTCAGAAAACTGGAAAATCCCCCTTTTTTTAATGAATAAAACCCCATAACTCGGAAACATAAAATCTAAAATTTATAAAAAACGAAAGGGAGCTCACATCAATAGATATAAACAATTCACCAAAGTTTTATGCAAATTGGTTAAAGCGTTTTTGAGTTAATGTCCGACATGTTGACGACGGACGGACAGATGGACAGACGGACTGACGGACAGACGGACAACGGTATACCATAATACGTCCCGTAAACGGGCGTATAAAAACAGGACCCAAAATTAAAAATCTAAATACACGGTTAGATTTGGCATATCAAAGAACCCCAATAATTCAATTTTTGATGAAATCAAACGAAGTTTAATTTTGGACCCTTTTGACCTCAATATGAACCAATTTGATAGCTGGGTCCACAAATAAAAAATCTAAATACATGGTTAGATTCAGCATATCAAAGAACCCCATATATTCAATTTTTGTTGAAATCAAACAAAATTTAATTTTGGACCCCAATTTGGACCAACTTGAAAACTGGGCCAATAATCAAAAATCTAAATACAAGTTTAGATTCAGCATATCAAAGAACCCCATATATTCAATTTTTGTTAAAATCAAACAAAGTTTAATTTTGGACCCTTTGGACCTTAATGTAGACCAATTTGAAAACTGGACCCAAAATTCAAAAATCTAAATACACGGTTAGATTCGGCATAACAAATAAATAAATGTGGTCAAAGATTTTACAAATCTAATGCGCCATACTGTGCAATTAAAGATCACTTCTTGAAATTTTCAATATTTGAAATTTGAAAAAAAAATAATATTTGAAGAATAATTCTTTTTAATTTCTGAAATCTGAAATGAGAAAAAATTGCCCCCCCCACAATTTCTTTCCCCCCCCCCTTTTTCCCCCCAAAAAATTCTTTCTTTTTGCGGTCGTATAATAACCAATAAAATGCTCCGCAGGGCGCAGCTTGATACGACCGCAGAGGTCGAACCCTGAACAGTTGGGGCAAGTATGGACACAACATTCAAGCTTGATACAGCTCTGAATTTGGATTGTGATTAAATATTTGACACAGCATAGGTTTCTGACACAGAATGAATGTGGTCTAAGAACTTAAAAATTTTAAATTGGACATTCACCTATTATGGTCCAATATCCAAAATCTTAATACATGGTTAGATTCAGCATATCAAAGAACCCCAAGAATTCAATATTTGATGAAATCAAACAAAGTTTAATTTTGGACCCTTTTGACCTCAATGTGGACAAAGTTGATAATGGGGCCCAAAAATCAAAAATCTAAATACATGGTTAGATTCAGCATATCAAAGAACCCCATATATTCAATTTTTGTTGAAATCAAACAAAGTTTAATATGGACCCCGATTTGGACCAACTTGAAAACTGGGCCCATAATCAAAAATCTAAATACATGTTTAGATTCAGCATATCAAAGAACCCTAAGAATTCAATTTTTGTTAAAATCAAACTAAGTTTAATTTTGGACCCTTTGGACATTAATGTAGACCAATTTGAAAACGGAACCAAAAATTAAGAATATAAATACACGGTTAGATTTGGCATATCAAAGAACCCCAATAATTCAATTTTTGATGAAATCAAACAAAGTTTAATTTTGGACCCTTTGGACCTCAATGTGGACCAATTTAAAAACGGGGCCCAAAATCCAAAAACTTAATACACGGTTAGAATCAGCATATTAAAGAACCCCAAGAATTCAAGAATAAAACCCCATTGAAATTGGTCAAGAAATAAGCATTTTATACGAAGTATTTTCTTTTGCACAATACTGTGCAATTGAATATTTCTTGCTATTGCGCAATACTGTACAATTGACAATTTCTTGCTATTGCGCAATATTGTGCTATTGGATATTTCTTGCTATTGCACAATACTGTGCAATTGAAGATTTCTTGCTATTGCGCAATACTGTGCAATTGAAGATTTCTTGCTATTGTGCAATACTGTGCAATTGAAAATTTCTTGCTATTGCACAATACTTATTATATAATAATTTACACATCCTGTTTGGTGTGTATCTCATACCATATCATTATTATTTGCTTTTAAATATAAAACAGAAATAACCAACTTAATGTTGAAAATTTAAAAAGAAATAAAAAGGGAAAAAAAAATAAAATCCCCCCCCCAAATTTTTTGAACCCCCTTATGATTCATCACCCCCAAACTCAATCCCAGCCTTCCCTTTGTGGTATGGTACCTTGCAGTACAATTTCAGAGAGATCCATACACTTGAACACAAGTTATTGTCTGGAAACTAGAAAAATGCTTATTTTTGGCCCCTTATTCCTAAACGTTTTGGGCAATTACCCCTAAACTCAATTCCAGCTTTCCCTTTGTGATATATAACCTTGTAGTACAATTTCAGAAAGATCCATATACTTACACACAAGTTATTGTCATGAAACTTGAAAAATGCTTGTTTTTTGCCCCTTTTTTGGCCCCTAATTCCTAATATTTTGAGGCAATTACCCCAAAAATCAATCCCAGCATTCCCTGTGTGATATGGAACCTTGTGGTACAATGTCAGAGAGATCCATACACTAACACACAAGTTATGTCTGGAAGTTACAAAAATGCTTATTTTTGGCCCTTTTTTGGCCCCTAATTCCTTAACTGTTGGTACCATAACCCCCAAAATCAATCCCCACCTTCCTTTTGTGGTATTGAACCTTATGGTAAAATTTCCTAGAGATCCATTCACTTAAACTAAAGTTAGAGTGCGAAAACCAATGTGTCTTCGGATGACGCCGGACGACGACGACACCGACGACGCCAACGTCATACCAATATACGACCTGAAAATTTTTTGCGGTCTTATAAAAACTGCAAAATTTCCTTAAAATTACTAAATGAGGGGCAGCAACCCAACAACGGGTTGTCTGATGCGTCTGAAAATTTCAGGGCGGATAGATCCATTTTTACCCATGTCAGATTTGCTCTAAATGCTTTAGTTTCAGAGATATAAGCCAAAAACTGCATTTTACCCCCCTATGTTCTATTTTTAGCCATGGCAGCCATATTGGTTGATGGGCAGGGTCATTGGATACATTTTTTAAACTAGATACCCTAAGGATGATTTAGGCCAAGTTTGATTTTATTTGGCCCAGTAGTTTCAGAGGAGAAGATTTTTGTAAAAGTTAACGGACGACAGATGCCAAGTTTTTTGGGCCAGGTGAGCTAACTAGAGGCTCTAAAGAGCCTGTGTCGCTCACCTTGGTCTATGTGCATATTAAACAAAGGACACAGATGGATTCATGACAAAATTGTGTTTTGGTGATGGTGATGTGTTTGTAGATCTTACTTTACTGAACATTCTTGCTGCTTACAATTATCTCTATCTATAATGAACTTGGCCCAGTAGTTGCAGTGGAAAATATTTTGTAAAAATTTACAAAAATTTACAAAATTTATGAAAATTGTAAAAAAATGACTATAAAGGGCAATAACTCCTTAAGGGGTCAATTGACAATTTTGGTCATGTTGAATTATTTGTAGATCTTACTTTGCTGTACATCATTGCTGTTCACAGTTTATCTCTATCTATAATAATATTCAAGATAATAACCAAAAGCTGCAAAATTTTCTTAAAATTACCAATTCAGGGGCAGCAACCCAACAACGTGTTGCCTGATTGGTCTGAAAATTTCAGGGCAGATAGATCTTGACCTAATGAACAATTTTATAGTTGAAAGATTTGCTCTAAATGCTTTGGTTTCAGAGATATGAGCCAAAAACTGCACTTTACCCTATGTTCTATTTATTACCGTAGATACTCGCCTAATAGTCGATCCTACTATAAGTCGGGGGCCCTTTTCAGCTCCAAATTCTAAGGATTTAGTCTTGACCCTCGTATAAGTCGGACAAAATTGGGCATTTTTTTTTCAGCTGACAGTAACTGAACGCCGGTAAAACCAATGCAAATCCAGGAATAATATTCATTTCTGCATTAATGTTTGTTTGGTTTGAATTTAGTTGATGCTCATCATGATAATTTATATTGCTGTTAATAATAAAGATGTATTCATTTCTCTTGTTTTGTTCACTGTTCAAATGTTAGATTAGCCATATGTTGTTTACATAATGCATCAATGATTTTGTAGGGTATGACTAATAACCTATTGTTTGAGAAAAGCGAATATAAACCAATATGAACCTGAAAATTTAAAGTCAATCAACACTTGATGAAAATATTTTTCACAGCATACATAACTTGGTGTTAAATGAGCATGTACACTTCATAATTCTTATTATATTGTGATGATTAAAGGATTAAAAAAATTAAGTGAAGCTAATCAATATATTAAAATAACTAACTCCAACTCATTAGTGTCATCTGTTTACCTATCACTCATAGTTTTCACACCTTTAGTAAATACAACTCTTTGTCTCTTAATTGGGGTTATCAATGGATTATATTGGCTTGTCAATCAATTTTGTAATTTTTGTTTACCCGAGACACTTTAATGAATAATATTTTGATTTTGGGAATGAATCTCAAAATTATTTTTTGATTATTATATGATTTATAAGCATTGAATTGATATCATGATATCACAATAATGACACAATAACTCCGCTGAAAACATCCTTTCACATATTTGGTACATTGTTATCTCCTTTTCATTTTTGGTTCTTGGCTCTTCTTTTGGGTTTATAGGAAAACCATGTGACCATGAAAATCAATACACAAACCGGAAACAGTAGAATTTCAACACGAATTTGCAGAAAATGTTTACCAAGGAACAAATAAAACACAAAGACAGTATTGTAGTCATTTATTTTCAACAAAAACTTTTTATTTATTGATTTATGTAGGTTTGGCAATCAAAAACGTAGTTTTGACCAGGAAATTCACTCCTGACCACTTTTCTCAAGCTTGGATTTTTCCTCTGGTCGCTAGATCTCGTCTATTAGTCGGTCCCCCTCTCTGGATTATGAATTTTACTCCCAATTTTCCGACTAATAAGCGAGTAGGAACGGTAGCCATGTCGGCCATCTTGGTTGGTTGGCCTGGTCACCGGACACATTTTTTAAACTAGATACCCTAATGATGATTGTGGACAAGTTTGGTTAAATTTGTCTTAGTAGATTCAGAGGAGAAGATTTTTGTAAAAGATTACAAAAATTTACGAAAAATGGTTAAAGATTGACTATAAAGGGCAATAACTCCTTAAGGGGTCAACTGACAATTTCAGGGCAGATAGATCTTGACCTGATAATTAATTTTACACCATGTCAGATTTGCTCTAAATGCTTTGGTTTCAGAGATATAAGCCAAAATCTACATTTTACCCCTATGTTCTATTTTTAGCCATGGCAGCCATCTTGGTTGGTTGGCCGGGTCACCGGACACATTTTTTAAACTAGATACCCCAATGATGATTGTGGCCAAGTTTGGTTAAATTTGGCCAAGTAGTTTCAGAGGAGAAGATTTTTGTAAAAGTTTACGGACGACGGACGCAGGACGATGGACGCAGGACGACGGATCACGGACGCCAAGAGATGAGAAAAGCTCACTTGGCCCTTTGGGCCAGGTGAGCTAAAAATGAAAGAACCTTAGTGAGCGCGCTCACATACCGCACATCCCCACATTGTCATTGGAGAAATAAAATTAAGTGTAAGAAAAAAAAATTGTATCAGAAAAAAAAATTGAATCATAATTTCCTGTCAATATGCACATCTACATAGTATGTCCTTATTATCTACACAGTTTCATGAAATTCTGTTGAGTGGTTTGAGAGGAGTTGCGATGACAAAAGGTTGCAGTAGTATATTGGGCAAATAAGTTCAAAGGGGCGTAACTCCTGGAAAAAAAATTGAATCGTAATTTCCTGTCGATATGCACATCTATGTAATATGTCCTTATTATCTGAAAAGGTTTCATGAAATTCTGTTTTGTGGTTTGAGAGGAGTTGCGATGACAAAAGGTTGCAGTAGTATATTGGGCAAATCAGTTCAAAGGGGCGTAACTCCTGGAAAAAAAATTGAATCGTAATTTCCTGTCGATATGCACATCTATGTAGTATGTCCTTATTATCTGAAAAGGTTTCATGAAATTCTGTTGCGTGGTTTGAGAGAAGTTGCGATGACAAACTGTTGCAGTAGTACATTAAAGTAAATAAGTTCAAAGGGGCGTAACTCCTAGAAAAAAAATTGAATCATAATTTCCTGTCGATAGGCACAACTACATAGTATGTCCTTATTATCTAAAAAGGTTTTCGTGAAATTCTGTTGTGTGGTTTGAGAGGAGTTGCGATGACAAGAAACAGGACTGACGGACTGACGGACAGACGGACAGACGGATCAAAAACATTATACCCTCTGCAACTCCTTGCATGGGGTATAATTAGGGTAGGTAGGGTTGGCGGAAACACGTTTTATTTTTTTTTTGCCCTTTGGTAATGTTAATGATTTAGCCCAAATGTCTTGTGCCCAAAAATCAATCTTAATGTGCCATTTAAATAAGGCTTAATCTGTATGATTTTTTTTTATACTTACATGATTTATAAACATACTATTATTAAATTCTCAATTCAATTGACTAATTAAGAAATTATTTAGAAACTAAGGTTCCGTGTATGGATTTAGTTATTTTTTTCTGTAAATTTTTGGATATAATGCTACTGATGAGTTTAAGTATTTATGTATTCCTGATGAATGTAATTCAAAAACATGGCATGGATGCACAAAATAAATTTAAGTGTTAGAATTTTGTCACATCAATTCTATTTTTTCCCAATATGTGTATTTTTTACAGTAAATGTGTTAATATTTCAAATAAAATCTTACACTGTTGTCAGTATTTATTTATAGTACTTACTATCAGTCTAACACCAAACATAGCATGAGTGTCATTTCTATGTGTTGCTAAAGCAGACTTCAGTTGTCCATCTTCTAACACACCAACATACTGTGCCACAGTTTTACATGATTCCATGGTAACAAACTGATCAGTCTGATGTAACTGGATTTTGGTTTCTTCTCCATGCATTGTACCTGGTGGCTGTTAAAAGAAAATTATTTTCTTATTGCAGATTTTTTTATTTTCTTACTTACTTATTTATTTTCATGTATGCTTGATTTTGTCGTCTAGACAACATCTGAAAACAAGAGGCTGTTAAAGTGACAGCAAACTGGATTTTCCTGCAGAGGTCGAACCCTGATAGTTGAGCAAGTATGGACACAACATTTAAGCTTATAACAGCTCTGAATTCAGATTGTGATTGAATATTTGATACAGCATAGGTTTGTGACACAAAATGAATGTGCCATTGTGGTCAAAGAACTAAAAATTTGAAATTGGACATTTACCTATTATGGTCCAATGTCCAAAATCTAGTTACATTGTTAGAATCAGCATATCAAAGTACCCCAAGAATTCAATTTTTGATGAAATACTTATTAATTAAACCATTTCTGTTCAAAGGGAAATAACTAAAACTTATTTCCATGAACCAGTGATGCATTAACAGCAAAAATAGTTCTCTAAAATTGGATATTATTTAACCACTAAAAATCAGTTCTCTAAAATTAGATATGATGTTATATCTATTTTCAAATTATAATCAAACGGAAACTAAAAATTTTGCAATTTTTCCATTTATAAAGGGGCATAACTCTAGAACGGTTAAAGTGACGCCACCAAAATTCAAACTTGATCTGTGTTTTGTGGTAATAAGCATTGTGAATAAGTTTCATAACATTTGGTTGAGGCAAACTCAAGTTAGAGAACGGAAACCAATTTTGGGACGTACGTATGTACACGGACAAGGGTAAAACTTAATGCCCCACCGCTACGGAGGGGGCATAAAAACCACTTGTTTTTGGCCCCCAATTCTTAACAGTATGGACGATTACCCCCAAAATCAATCCCAACCTTCCTTTGAGGTATGGAACATTGTAGTATAGAGATCCATACACTTATACTTAAGTTATTGTCTGGAAACCAAATGTCTTTGGACGATGACAACAACTATGATGACAAATTTTGCAGTCGTATATAAATGTGTTTTTCATCATGGACACGATACAGATATACATACACATTTTTAATGTCACCAGTGGGTGTTTTTACTCATGGTTTCTGTGAATTCATGCTAGTGTGTTGTTGGATTACTATCTTATTGACATATACCTGATATCTCCTTTAATATGTATACAACTAACAAACTACAGGTTTAAGTTAAATAATAATGCAACACATCAGTAAAGATGATTGTCCACAAATAAAGATGTGTCAACTTCTTGGTATAGAATCTCCCATTTGATGGACATTTATTTAAAATATGTATTTAGCTCAATTTCATGCATAAGTTTTACTCTCTGTGCAGATTCCAATTTCACAACAAAAATATTACTGACTAGTTTAATGGTAATGGATATCATGGCATTATTTTACTTTTAATTTCACTCATTTTCAGGCTGTCTCATACATGTCATATAAAGATCCCTTTTAAATGCAAACACCTTATACACTGTTATGAGAGTTTTTTTTTTAATCATGAGTTTCAATCCCAATTCCAGCAATTTTTGATTAGTTCTTTATTTGATCTCAGGACCAGACTTTCTTGATTTTTGCACAAAAAATTTGAATTATGATATGAACAATTTAGAGACAGTGACCAGTTTTATATAATTTCATTAATAAACTTCGTCAAAATTAAAAGGAAACAACTATTGTGGCTATGTTAAAACTAAACTCACCATGTGAACTAGCTGTGTTATACCATTGACAATAGCAATGTAGTTATTGTTGTTATGGAGACGAACTTGGTTCTTGCCCTCATTTATAACAGTCCATAAAGCTGAAAAAGAATTTTTTTTTTTAGGTACATGTACATTAATATCAACATGATCAAACACTTGAAGCAAGAGTACATTTAAGGCTATTCAAGTCTTGTATTGCAATTACCACAATGAACAAATTTGGAATTTTTATCCACTGTAAATCTTTATTCTCATTTGGCGACCAGTTTTGATAGAAAATCTTCCAACTTAGTCTGCAATATTCACTAGCATAAAATCAATGACTGTTGTATTAATCAGTGACATCATAGTTTTCAATGATGGTCCACTGGCTCATAATACCTACTGTTAGAAGCCTGAGGTCCCTCGGCACCACATCCATCAATGACTGACTGTTTTGATGTAGACATCACAATCTGTAGTGAATGTCCACTGGCTCGTGATACTAGCTGTACAACATTGTTTGTCTGGAATGTTTGCTGAAAAAAAATTATACCATATAAATATACAATGATTTTATGTAAATTTATTTCAAAGCACAGCAATATTGATTTTTTTGGTGTATATCAATTTTCTCAGAGGAGTTGGGTGTTGATGTGGTCTGTTGAACTGTACAATATTATTGATGATTCCTATATTCTTTTTTTATGTATCATATTGTTTAATGAATTGATATGATATAAGTAATTTATAAAGAAATTCTTTTTTAAAGTAAAAAAGAAGAAAATGCAAATATTTGATGTGTTAAAAATCATTTGCACTAACTGTTTTACTCCTGATGGAAGATATGTATTATACCATGAATATCTGAGGAGTGAAACAAGTAGGGTCCTTGTTGTTCAGTCTTCAGTTTTCTATGTAATTATGTCAACCGATCGACAATGTTTGGTCACATATTGCTTTTCCTCCGTTTCTTTTTATATCACCCGATCAACAATGTCTGGTCACATATGGCTTTTCGTCCGTTTCTTTTTATCATGTCACCCTATCGACAATGTTGGGTGACATATTGCTTTTCCTCCCTTTCTTTTTATGGCACCCTAAACAGAGTTGGGGCTGACATATTGTTATTCTACATATCTTTTTCGTCTTATTATTTTTCTTCCACTTTTTTGTCCAGCTTATACATCAGAATTGTATGAGTCAAATCTGGTTACCAGTCTACTTACCAGAATATTTCCAGTCTCACACTGTTTGACAGCATGCTCAATCTGGTTACCTGCCCAATTCAGACCTTTTTCTACCTCTTTGCCTGCACTCTTCACTTCTTTCATGATTGATCCAAAAATTCCTGGCTAAAAGATAAAGAAATTATTATATGTTACACTCTCTAACTAATGGAATACAGTTTTAAACGATCAAAGCAAGGTTCAAAAATACAGTTTGACTGTTCCCTTCAGATTGTCATTATATTTAAATTTTCCATTAGCATTGATAGATTTTTCTTTTCTTGCATTTTCAGTTCAACAACTTCTTCACAAAATTTTATCAAAAATGTATAGCGTATAGAAATTATCAGTATTACAAAATTGCAAACCTAATTGCAGGGATGACAATTTGAATAGAGATATTGTGTTTTGAATTATGCATCGAATATGTAACAATTGAAAAGTTTTGTCATTATAAAATGAAATTGAAATCAAGTGGATATTTGATAAGAGTTTTTGCCTAGATATTTGACTTGATTATGCAGCTAGAAAATCTATTTAGTTATTCGTTACAATCCAATCTTGTATAGATATCTATTGATTTTTCTACTTTTTTTTACAGACGATGTATGTATAACTTTTGTTGGTTGCTGGTTGACATATAGATTTTTGTACTGTCGTCTGTTAAACAAGAGTGCACACGCTGAAATGTCTCGCCTTCTTTACTAATCATTGATATTATGTTGATAGTCCTAAATATAAAGCTTTATTACAACTGTCACATAAACTTAACATTAACCAAGTAAACTAAACATTGACCAATGAACCATGAAAATGAGGTCAAGGTCAGATGAACCATGCTAGGCAGGCATGTACAGCTAACAATTCTTCCATACAACAAATATAGTTGACCTATTGCTTATAGTTTAAGAAAAACAGACCAAAACACAAAAACTTAACACTGAGCAATGAACCTTGAAAATGAGGTCAAGGTCAAATAAAACCTGCGTGACTGCCAAATAGATCATAAAATATTTCCATACACCAAATATAGTTGAACTATTGCATATAGTATTAGAAAAAAAGACCAAAACTCAAAAACTTAACTTTGACCACTGAACCATGAAAATGAGGTCAAGGTCAGATGACACCTGCCCGCTAGACATGTACACCTTACAATCATTCCATACACCAAATATAGTAGACCTATGGCATACAGTATATGAAAACCAGACCAAAACACAAAAACTTAACTATAACCACTGAACCATGAAAATGAGGTCAAGGTCAGATGACACCTGCCAGTTGGACATGTACACCTTACAGTCCTTCCATACACCGAATATACTAGACCTATTGCTTATAGTATCTGAGATACGGACTTGACCACCAAAACTTAACCTTGTTCACTGATCCATGAAATGAAGTCGAGGTCAAGTGAAAACTGTCTGACGGGCATGAGGACCTTGCAAGGTACGCACATACCAAATATAGTTGAACTTTTGCATATAGTATTAGAAAAAAAGACCAAAACTCAAAAACTTAACTTTGACCACTGAACCATGAAAATGAGGTCAAGGTCAGATGACACCTGCCCGCTAGACATGTACACCTTACAATCATTCCATACACCAAATATAGTAGACCTATGGCATACAGTATAAGAAAACCAGACCAAAACACAAAAACTTAACTATAACCACTGAACCATGAAAATGAGGTCAAGGTCAGATGACACCTGCCAGTTGGACATGTACACCTTACAGTCCTTCCATACACCGAATATACTAGACCTATTGCTTATAGTATCTGAGATACGGACTTGACCACCAAAACTTAACCTTGTTCACTGATCCATGAAATGAGGTCGAGGTCAAGTGAAAACTGTCTGACGGGCATGAGGACCTTGCAAGGTACGCACATACCAAATATAGTTATCCTATTACTTATAATAAGAGAGAATCTAACATTACAAAAAATCTGAACTTTTTTTTCAAGTAGTCACTGAACCATGAAAATGAGGTCAAGGACATTGGACATGTGACTGACGGAAACTTCGTAACATGAGGCATCCATATACAAAGTATGAAGCATCCAGACCTTCCACCTTCTAAAATATAAAGCTTTTAAGAAGTTAGCTAACGCCGCCGCCGGATCACTATCCCTATGTCGAGCTTTCTGCGACAAAAGTCGCAGGCTCGACAATAAAAAACTCTATGATTAGTTATCCTGTTTACACATAGTCTGTGATTGGTCAAAATAAACATCAATGATTAGTTATCTTGTTTACATAAGGTCTGTGATTGGTCAAAATAAACATCTCTGATGAGTTATCTTATTTACACAAGGTTTGTGATTGGTCAAAATAAACATCATTGATTAGTCATCTTGTTTACATAAGGTATGCGATTGGTCAAAATAAACATCACTGATTAGTTATCTTGATTACATAAGGTATGCGATTGGTCAAAATAAACATCACTGATTAGTTATCTTGTTTACACATGTTACACAAGGTTTGATTGGTCAAAATAAATATCACTGATTAGTTATCTTGTTTACATAAGGTCTGTGATTGGTCAAAATAAACATCTCTGATGAGTTATCTTATTTACACAAGGTTTGTGATTGGTCAAAATAAACATCATTGATTAGTTATATTGATTACACAAGGTCTGTGATTGGTAAAAAAAAACATCATTGATGAGTTATCTTATTTACACAAGGGCTGTGATTGGTCAAAATAAACATCATTGATTAGTCATCTTGTTTACATAAGGTATGCGATTGGTCAAAATAAACATCACTGATTAGTTATCTTGATTACATAAGGTATGCGATTGGTCAAAATAAACATCACTGATTAGTTATCTTGTTTACACATGTTACACAAGGTTTGATTGGTCAAAATAAATATCACTGATTAGTTATCTTGTTTACACAAGGTCTTTGATTGGTCAAAATAAACAACACTGATTAGTTATCTTGTTTACACAAGGTCTGTGGATTTGTTATTCTGTTAATATCTGGTCTGTGCTCAGGAGTTTTGTCTCAATAAACTTCACTGATAACATTTTGTAGTTAAGGGCACCCAAACAGTTTCAAGGCAGTTACTGTTGGTGCCACATTATGCATTGGAATCTGACGAAAACGTCACTTTTGGCAGGATGTCATGAAACATGTAATTTTCCGTAATGATAAAAAAAAAATACACGATTGAATGATATTTAATATAAACAATGCTCCAATTTATGTTTCTCACACACTTCAACTTCTATGCCCTCAAAATAAGTACATTTGATTCTAATATTTTGGGTATATATATATATACACAGTATAAAAGTCTAATGAAATCAAAATTAAGAAATTAAACACATGAGGTATTCAACAATGAAGTCAATAAAACATTGTATAGGGAGCAATCTCTAGACTACTGACCCCTTGATGACAATTACATGTATCATTTTTATTGTCATTCATCCCTGATAGAATTTTATATGGATCCGACTTTCTAACAGCCCGTTAGTCTGACAAAAGAATAGTTTTACAGCGCATAAGTTACAAGCAAAGTCAATATCATTTTGTGTCAATGTTTTTTAAACTCATATCAAAGTTCAGATAGCACAAAACTCCAGTTTTAATTATTGTAATCCCTTGTAAATCAAGGCATCAACACTTTAAAAGAAGTAAATTTCCTCATAGAACATTTTTTTTCCCATTTATTTATGTCAAATATGAGAGGACACAGTATTAATGGTAAAAAAGACAGTTAATGTAGAAAAATGAGAAAAATGACATTATAAGAACCTCTTGATTTCCACATTTTAAGGTCAAAAAAAAAATCCCACTCTGAGCATCTTATCCGTAATTCTAAGCATGACTTAAATTATTTTAAACTAGTCATTCTTGTATGGATTTATTTTCCCCCTATTTTCACTTATTACAGCTTCAGATTGAATCCAATTTTATTAATTTATGAATAAGAAAATCTACTCCAAATTTTTTCTAACTTTGCTTAACTTTTTTTTACAAAAGTGCAAAATAGTCCCCTACCAGTTAAAAATTAATTGTACTGGAACAAAATGCTAACTTGATCTATAACTTGTCATGGTGTAAACTATATAACAAATATCAAGTCAATATCTTCAAGCATGACGAAAAAAAGTGTGGAAAACTGATTATTTAAAAAGTGAATTTTTTAAGTCCAAGGACCATAACTCTGCACAAAATCATCAGACCGTAACAAAATTAAAACTTGGTCTGTAACTTGTCATGATAAAACTATATACCAATTATCAAAACAAAATCTTCAAGCATGAAGAAAAAAAGTGTGGAAAACTGATTATTTGAGTGAATTTTCTAAGTCCAAGGACCATAACTCTGCACAAAATCATCAGACCGGAACAAAATTCGAACTTGATCTGTAACTTGTCATGATAAAACAATGGTCCAATTATTAAATCAATATTTTTAAGCATGACGAAAAAAAGTGCGGAAAACTGAATATTTGAGTGAATCCAAGTCCAAGGACCATAACCCTGCACAAAATCATCAGACTGGAACAAAATTCGAACTTGATCTGTAACCTGTCATGATAAAACAATATACCAAATATAAAATCAATATCTTTAAGCACAAAGAAAAAAAGTGTGGAAAACTGATTTGCCGGACTGACGGATGGACAGACAGACAGACGGACAGAGTGCAAACCTAAAGTCCCCTTCGCCTTCAATGGTAGGGGACTAACAAGAGGCTATCAGAGTGACAGCAAAACCGGATTTCCTGAACAGTTGAGCAAGTATGGACACTATATTTAAGCTTATAACAGCTCAGAATTTGGATTGTGAATGAATATTTGACACAGCATAGGTTTGTGACACAAAATGAATGTGGTCAAAGAACTGAAAAATTTGAAATTGGACATTTACCTATTATGGTCCAATATCCAAAACCATTGTTAGAATCAGCATATCAAAGAACCCCAAGAATTCAATTTTTGATGAAATCAAACAAAAGTTTAATTTAGGACCCTTTGGACCTCAATGTGGACCAATTTGATAAAGGAGCCCATAATCCAAAATCTCTAAATACATGGTTAGATTCGGCATTTCAAAGAGAACCCCATAAATTCAATTTTGTTGAAATCAAACAAAGTTTAATTTTGGACCCTGATTTGGACCAACTTGAAAACTGGACCCAAAAATCTAATATCTAAATACAGGTTTGGATTCAGCATTTGAAAGAACCCTATATATATTTAATTTATGTTGAAATGAAACACAGTTTAATTTTATCCATATAATTTTCTGTTCAAAGGGAAATAACTCAAACTGAATAAATTATAACAAATAGTTTTCTAAAATTAGATATGATATTTTCAAATTATAATCAATAAAATTAGATATGATTTAACCACTAACACATTGTTAGAATCAGCATATCAAAGAACCCAAGAATTCAATTTTTGATGAAATTAAATCCAAAATCAGAAATCTAAATATGTGTTTATTAATAGACAATATAAGCTTAGTTTTTAAAGGAGTTCACTTCATAAAAAAAAATTAAATATATAAAGCCTACCACAAAATTCTTCAAACAATTTACCAAAGAAAAGAAAAAAAATTCCAAATTGTTATTTATCATTATTACATTAATACAATGTCTTTTAAAAATCTATAAAAGTTATCTGTTATATATAAACTTTATATATACAATTAACCATTTCTGTTCAAAGGGAAATAACTCAATCACATAATAGGTACCACTTTTCACTATTGGAAAGGGATATAACTCGACAAGGAGAAAAGCTAAAATCGTGAAAATTGAACTTGACCTTCATTTAGTCACAGGAAACAACATATCCAAATTTGAAAAAAAAGTTCATCCAAGCGTTTGCATGTGTAAATGAACGGACACTGTTTGGCAGTCGCCCGCCCGCCCGCTGTACATCCCCAAATAAGAAACGATTTTTCCTTTGAAAATCCGGTTAAAAATGACAATATAACGTGAAACTGTATAGGATGCCTTTAATTTGTTTACACAAGAATTAGAATTATAATGTATGCAGTTACTACAACATAGTGTATGTAGAATGTACAACATTATGAAAAGGGAGACAACAAGAGTTCTACACTTGGTGGTTACATGCGAGAAGGCATGAACATTACCATGCATTTTTTACACATCTATTTTTTTTGGTTTGTGTGTTTGTACTGTACAATATTTTTTCTATGTTCCTGTTATCCGTTTTATGAGTATTATATATAACATAATAATCCCCTAAACAAATCTTGAACAGCTGTCTATCTGAAGAAGGTGACAATTAGTATACAATATATCATAAAATACTTTGTTCATAACAACTATACCTACTTTGGATGTTTTACCTGTAGGAGGTGGTCCTTGGTCTTTCTGCGCCATTGTCTATAAAGAATTGAAAAAACAAATTAAACACATACTGCAGGAAATAAAATAAATTGAAATAATAGTAAATGTATCAGCTTACCTACAAATAAAGTTAAAGAACACATGAAATGCCTTTAAAGCCTAATACCTGACAATGCACATACTGTAAATTCACAAATTATTGCATGCATTTACTATTGCAATTTTTAAAGAATGGAAAAAAATACGAGATTAATTATTGTGATTTCAGTAAAATCTTCATACAGACAAATGTATCAGATATCAGAATGGGAGCTCTTCACCAAGTCACATTCATGACATTATTGCATTAATAAAAACCTTGCAATACTTTCTGAATATACAGTACATATATAAATTCAAATGTGCAGGTATTAATTATGCATGAATTCTCAGAAGTCTCTAGGTAGCATGCTTGCCTAGAATTAGGGAGGTATGGTTATATCTCTAGCCTGGTCAAACCACAAAATAGAAAATTGTAATTCGCTTCTTCATTAAACACACAGCATTTAGGATTAAGAGCAAAGACTTGATGTTGGCAGTCTTCCTAAATCTGTTACCTTGCAAACTAGTATGTTTCATAATCAAACTCAGGGTGTCGATCTACTACAATTGATTGATTGTTTGTATGTGCTTAAAGCCACTTTCAGCACCATGTGTTTGATTTGATCTCATAGCCTCAGTGTTGACATGCTAGTGATAGAGTAGATGAACTACTTATACCACTCAGCATGCTCAGCCACCGAGGTCCTTTGGACAAGTGCAAAGCCCATAGGGAATTGACTACAGGTCAGATATATAGTCTGTTTATCATCTACATGATGATATGATGCATTTAAAAATAAAAAAAAAGTATACCCCTACTATCCAAAACCCGGGTTTGGATAGTAGTGGTATACATTTTTTTTTAAATGCACGTAGACAATTAACAGACTATATATCTGTGGCTCTTTTCACAAAAAATCTTAAGAGTAAAAATACTCGTAAGTCATACACATTTCAGTATAACTTATGATCAATTTTAATCGTAAGAGTTTTTGTGAAAAGAGTCACTGACCTTTAGTCAAGTCCCTTTGACAAGCCTGGGTTCATGCTCATGTCACATTAACATGCAAGTTCTTGTCATGCTCGTCCTGATATGTATGTAAGTTTGTACAGGTTTTTTTATAGCATAAAAAATTTCCAAGCGTTGTTAAAAGGATCCATTCCTTATGAGAATTAGGTATACATGTATAATCATATAGAATTCTGAATCTTATAAGCTTGTCCCACTAATTTTGAGTCCCAATTACATGACCCAAATTGGCTTACAAACTTTCATTAAAGAGGTCTTTCCAAAAACACCCTGATAAAACCCTTTTGTTGTTGTGTGACCTAAAAACTCTCTGTAAAAATAGTAGTTTATAAAACTTCAATCATGCAATCATTTATATTTATATGCAGCTCTAGGGATCTAAAACTGAACTCACCTTAAAATAATTTAGTATATATAATATAATTATTTCAAGTACAACAAACAAATATAAATATATATATGAGGATTAACCACATGTGTAATATCCTAAATAGCTTGTAGTTATGTGTAATAGACTAAGTTTATGCCATATTAATTTATGGTATGATCAGGTGATGTCAACAGTGAATGAAAAAAAGTCTTTTTCTCAAACTATACACTTCCAGGCACTTGAAATGCATTGAATACCTTATACCTTTATACCTTTATCTTCGGGTCCTTAAATCAGCCAATGGCTTCTACTGACCCCTCATCTTGGAATGTCGTAATGCAATTTCTGATCGCATAATAATATATTTATATAACTTACATACATGTGATGGACTGTGAAACTCAGATCAGGAGATTGGGAAATTTTGGTCAGGAGATTAGGACTCAGCTCAGGAGGTTTATAATCGACATAAATTTTGTCGTAAATGTAACCGTGTGATGTAGAAATTGTCTTTTAAAGTGTTTTTTTCTTCAACTTTCCATCCGAATGTAATATGTTTATAGTACCCTTGTACTCTTAAATTTTCTTTAACTTTATTCAATCTAACATTCTGTTTTCATAATACATTCTTTAATTTCCTTTTTTTTTTTTTTTTTTTTGTCTTTATTCTATACAACAATCACTGCATAAGGGAATTTCTTTCTTGATATTAAACATGCATGTACTGTTATAGTATATACTTAAAGGTCATACTTACTAAATAAATTTCAATTCAAGCCTTGAAAAGAAGTATAGAACCCTCAAATAATTTCCAAATTATTATTTTTTTATTTTTCCTAAGACATTTAAAATCATTTTATTACCATCCTTTTATGATTATTTTATTCAATTTATATTTCATTTATAGTCTTTTAACAATTTACATTATTTAAAGGAAAATAACTTTAAACAGAATAAAACAAGGGAAGTAACCCAAAATTTATTTCAATTACTTTTAACAGTCAGGGATATAACTCTATAGGGTTATTACAGAAAAATAACATACATTTGTTATTGTGGACTAAAAATCAAAGAACTGTGATAACATATGTATGTTACATGTTTCAAAGGGACAATATACATCACTAGTTTAGTTAAAATGCATACAAGTTCTATTGATATTACTATTGTCTTTATGTATACTTAACTAAAGAAAGATATAACAGTTCGTAGTTCGCCAATTTTGCATAGTACACCTATATGTTATTACAGAAAAAATATGCCTGTAATAACTAAAGGGTGTTATCACAGCTTCTCTATATCACTCCAAAGCATTTTCTCAGACATACATCATGCTTAATTACAATGTATTTTAATTTATTGTAAGAAATAATGACCAGAGCATGTAATGAGGTTCTGCGCAAGCTTCCCAGTAATTCCCAAGTGTCTCATATTATAGGTTACATTCCTTTAATAACTAAGCTATGTTATTACAGCTAATTTTATCCCTTAAAAGCCTCGTCTCATTGATTTACCATGGTTAATCAATAATGTATTAATATAAATAAAGAATTAATTATCAAGGCTATGCATTTAGTTTCTGCGCAAAGTCTCAAGAGTTCCCTAGAGCCCATAATAAATTAAAATATTTTTGATTTATTTTACAAATAACAAACATATGTTATTGCAGATTTAGAAAATTTAAGGAATAAAGAGTAGACAACTCATGAAAGTATCTGTAATAACACACACAAGTTATTTTCTGTAATAACCCTATAGAGTTATATCTCTGACTGTTTAAATACACAAAGTTTTTATTACACAACGGCAGTTAGCCTGAGTTAAAAATCGTTGATTACCAGTATGTTTGACACCCAAGCTGGCAAGTGAAGCCATATAATTATGCATGTTCTTTGATTTACAGGTAAAATTTAACTTCAGGTAAAGTCAGTTACACTGGATATGGCAGCTGAAAGTTTTCATTCAGGAAATATTTCATACACGGGATTTTTTTCTATTCAACGGGAGGAGACCCCTGAAAACGGAATTATTGTACTCCCGTCGGGAGGTTCACATGTATGAACTTAATAACTTAAATAAAACTTTAGGTGTGCGCAGCTTAACAATTAACACGAACATATAAATGTATACGGGTTCCAATTTTCGCCATTTAAAGCTGACTTAAAATATTCAAAGTCTTTGCCGTCACTGTTAAATCCGACAGGTTATTCCACTGATCCACTACTCTAATTGAAAAAGTATTTAGTCTGTGTGTCGTCTTACACTGTTTCTTAAAAAGTTTTAAAGAAAAGAGTGAACTCTAGTATTATTAGTATGTACAGGTCATGTTTCCTTACTAAAATACAGATGGCAACTTACCCTATATAATAGAATAACGAAGTTCTAAAAAATAGTATGCAAATTGGGTAATTGCGACGTGTACTTTGGATTTAACAGTCCAGTCAAGGTCGTTAAAAACCCCCATCATCATCATCATCGATTTCCGTATGGCCCTTTCCTTATAAATAATTAATCGATCTAGATCATATGTATGTTTGTATTGCAAATATCACCGTTCACAAATTCAAGCCACAAATTGACATTGATGGAGAAAAATGTAACAGCACTATAATGATGAATGATGTGAAAATGGCAAAACGTTTAAGTGAATTGAAGCAGGCATATATACTTTCACTGTTCTTGTTATCACTGTGCTCTTGTCAACTTGTGGTTAATGTAAAAGATGGAGGAGGCGATGTCACAGTAGAAAGTTTTCTTGGCAATACCACTTCAGATATAGTTCAGCTGCAGTTTCTGAACAAAGATGGGACACATGTTACACAATTTATAGACTTTAAAACAGTTAGTTTATATTTCGATACAGATTTTTATGTTATACTAAGTTAGTGTAGTGTACTTCAAATTGTCATGGGCAGAACACGTAGCAATCATTGACAATTGATTTGTTTTCTAAAGTTATGAGATGTTCCTGGATGGTACTGTATGGTCACTCCATTCGCTCCCATTCTTGTTCGCCCCTATCACATTTACACCCCACATGTTCTCACCCTGGGTCTGTTTGCACCCTTTTTAAAGGATTTGTGTTGAATAAGTTTTTAATGATGCTTAACATGCTAAGGTTCACCATTACACTTTGACAAAAATTTCTGTGTTTACACTATAAAATTTATCTGAGTACAGACAAAACTGTGTAACTTGAAAAGTTTTAAAGCCTGGCAGCACCTAGATATATACAAGTTGTTTTCATTTTGTGTTTTAAAAAGATAAAAAACTTTTGTGGATTTAGCTAAACATTTTCTTTCCTTGCTGCAGGTGGTGTAAAAATAATCAAAGTCTGGTGAAATCTTTGAGATGGTCCCCCTCAGGTAATGATTGTATTGTATCATATTGATTAAAATGGACAATAGATAGAGGGACTATAGAAATCAACACAACAAAGGTGATTTAAATAGTGTAAATGAGTGGACTGTATCAAATAAAACTCAGGTGTTTGTTTATTTCACCATCTTCTGTGGCAAGGAAAGAAAATGGTCATCAAAATCCATAAATGTTTTTAACTTTTTTAAATTTAACATGGATGCAATATTTATTTATCTAGGTGCTGCCAGGCTTTAAAACTTTTCAAATTGTACAGTTTTTTCTGTACATCATGTACATAGAGAACATTTTATGGTGTAAACACAGCCATTTTTTGTCGAAGTGTGTTGATGAACCTTAAGTTAGTGTATTGCTATAAAATAAAGAAATTAAGTTTTTTATTATTGTTTAAAAATAAAGTGACATTCTAAAAACATAAATAAGTTTTCCTTTGTGAATTATTTTGACGAAATGAATAATGAATAGTGTCATTATGATCAAAGACTAAGTCATTCTTCTCTCGTAAAAGAGAGTCAGAAGATTCCAAACGGCTATCAATCTCGTCACAAACTGTTAAAAATAATTATCTTTAATTTTTTTCATTTAAAATCTTCATTGTTTGTATTTTACTTTAAACCAAACACAAAACAATAATACATGTACCAATTAGCTTTGTAAATACCAATTAACAGTAATTAAATAAATCACAAATAATAATTAATCGTCTAATCACAAAAAAAAAATTTATATTTTTATTCATGAAAAAATAAATATTTTGATATATACATCTAAATAGCTATATAGGGTGCGATCAGACCCAGGGAGTGAATGTGTGGGGTGCGAATATCAAGGTTGGCAAAAAAGCGGTCAATACTAGTATTGACCAGGCCGGCGGTAAATACCGGTAAATACCGGGAAATACTGGCAAATACTGGTCAATACTGGCAAATACTGGTCAATTGAAATTTTGATAAGATATTACTATTAAATACAGTCCCTACCTGGTCAACTACAGGGTAAATGGACAAATATATTCACAGGACAGAAAGTCACTTATTTACTACATTGTAAAGGACAGAAAGTCACTTATTTACTACATTGTAAAGGACAAAAACTCACAATTAATTAGTTAACAAGTTTTTGAATATGTAAGGGAAAATCCTTGAAATGAATTCATTGTAATGTTTATGAGATTGATAATGAACATGGTTAAATGAAGATTTATTAAATATTAATCCTACAAAGGATATTTCTTGGTACCATGAAGCCAGTCAAGAAAAAGACTATGGCAGCTTGTTTTCTTAACAGTAATTTCATCAAATGTAATAAAACAATGTCTTAAAAATTAGTCTTTTCTTAATCAAAGAAACAGTTCTTTCAAAATTGCATTGTGACTTTCTGTCCTGTGATATTTAGCCCTACATTCAATAACTGTTAGTCATGAAAATATGAAAGTTTTCAAGTCAAAATTAGACTTTTTTAATGTTATCTTTTCTTATATAAATTGAAATTTTACATGAACACATCATGGACAGTGATTTTTAGAATAAAATTAAAGAAAAAGAAAAAGCAGCAGCCAAAGTATAGATCCTTCAAAATTTCCATTTTCTGTATTTAGTTTTAGAAAATATTTATCATGCAGTTGAATAGTCAGGAATAAAATAATTGTTTTAAACAGTCTTCAAAAATAATTTTATGACTTTTTTCCTGTTATGTCAACATTTATTAGGGGACAGTTGTAATATTGAATAAACTTTTGACACCTGCTTGCCATATAATAGGTAATGCCCTGATAATCTAGTCACCTGTAATTCTATTTACCTGTTAAAATCAAACCTTTTCAAGAAAAAAAAATATATATTTTATACATGTTGAAATAACTGATATAGCAATTTTATATCCATACCTAAACTATGTTATATCATTACCCATAAGAACTGAATAAGTCATTATTCATGCTAATAGTTGATAAAACATACCAATATCAATCCTTTTTATAAAAAGTTAAAATAATATCCCCTATCAACTAAGATTTAACTAACATTGATAGTAAAATCTGTCAAAAGAACCATGAAAATTTCAATTGTCCAGTATTTGCCAGTATTGACCACTTGAGGAGTATTGACCGGGGCGGTAAATACCGGTAAATACCACTGGTAAATACCGGGGTGGTATTTACCGCCCAACCTTGGCGAATATGTAAGGTGCGAATGTGTTTTGGGAGCGAACGGACCTGATACTGACAAATACTACATGTAGCTACATGTACAAAAAAATGTACCATCAGAAATTCACAGTTTATATAATTTTTAGTAACTCTCTGGGGAAGTATTCTTTTTTCATAATAAAGGGTACCAAAGTTAGGTTTAGTACCATACGTCTATAGACTCAAACTTTAATTCCTTTTTTATAAGGTCATATATTGGTATGACGTTGGCGTCGTCGTCGTCGTCCGAAGACACATTGGTTTTCGCACTCTAACTTTAGTTTAAGTGAATGGATCTCTTTGAAATTTTACCATAAGGTTCAACACCACAAAAGAAAGGTTGGGATTGATTTTGGGGGTTATGGTACCAACAGTTAAGGATTTGGGGCCAAAAATAAGCATTTTCTAGTTTCCAGACAATAACTGTGGAACGGTGTATGGATCTCTCTGAAATTATACCACAAGTTTCTTTACCACAAAGGGATGGTTAGGATTTGCTTTGGGGGGTTATGGCTCAAACCGTTTAGGAATTAGGGGCAAAAAAGGGGGAAAAACAAGGTTGTCCTGGTTAATGGACAAATACTTTAGTACAAAACATAATTTAAAGCAGTGTAAGGGAGATAAATCAAATACATCATTTGAATTACCTCCCTTACACTGCTTTTAAATTATGTACAAAGTAATGGTTAATGAACAATTAAGATAATTTAAAACAGTGTAAGGGAGGTAATCCAAATACAACGTTTTGGTTACTTCCCGTTCACTGCTTTTAAATTATGTTTAAAGAAATGCATATTTATAAACATGATAAAGGAAGACCAGTAAAAATATCTGCAAATGTAGCATCTTTTTTTTTTACAAAAAAATCCATATGAAAGATTTGACACCATATTTTAAATTCTATTATAAAATAGATTAAGTTAGCACTATGGTAAATTTAAATGGGTAATTATGGTTGCAAACTCCATTGGAAATTTGAATTGAGATTATGACCATATCTTGAGGGAAAGAATTTTTTTGGGGAAAAAAAGGGGGGGGGGGGGGGTAAAAAGAAATTATGGGGGGTCAATTTTTTCTCATTTCAGATTTCAGAAATTAAAAAGAATTATTCTTCAAATATTATTTTTTTTTCAAATTTCAAATATTGAAAAATTTCAAGAAGTAATCTTTAATTGCACAGTATGGAGCATTAGATTTGTAAAATCTTTGACCACATTTATTTATTTGTTATGCCGAATCTAACTGTGTATTTAGATTTTTAATTTTGGGTCCAGTTTTCAAATTGGTCTACACTAAGGTCCAAAGGGTCCAAAATTAAACTTTGTTTGATTTTAACAAAAATTGAATATATGGGGTTCTTTGATATGCTGAATCTAACCATGTATTTAGATTTTTTATTTGTGGGCCCCACTATCAAGTTGGTTCACATTGAGGTCAAAAGGGTCCAAAATTAAACTTTGTTTGATTTCATCAAAAATTGAATTATTGGGGTTCTTTGATATGCCAAATCTAACAGTGTATTTAGATTTTTAATTTTGGGTCCCGTTTTTTAAATTTGTCTACATTAAGGTCCAAAGGGTCCAAAATTTAAATTAGTTTGATTTTAACAAAAATTGAATTCTAGTGGTTCTTTGATATGCTGAATCTAAACAAATGTTTAGATTTTTGATTATGGGCCCAGTTTTCAAGTTGGTCCAAGTTGGGGTCCAAAATTAAACTTTGTTTGATTTCAACAAAAATTGAATATATGGGGTTCTTTGATATGCTGAATCTAACCATGTATTTTGATTTTGGATATTGGACCATAATAGGTAAATAAAAAAATTTAAAGTTCTTAGACCACATTCTTTCTGTGTCAGAAACCTATGCTGTGTCAAATATTGAATCACAATCCAAATTCAGAGCTGTATCAAGCTTGAATGTTGTGTCCATACTTGCCCCAACTGTTCAGGGTTTGACCTCTGCGGTCATATCAAGCTGCGCCCAGCGGAGCATTTTATTAAACAATGAAAAAATGGGTTGCTAGTATGCCCATTTTTTAGGGAATTTTACAGGTACGATGACCAGTTACTGTCACTTTTGAATCTTGCCATTAGTTGATAGAGTTTGTTAATTTTTCATCTATTAACAACATGATTAATCATATTATAAATGACATAAAATGTGTAGCATATTTCTTTCTGATATATCTGCGCCAATGACATTGAATACAAATAAAAAGATGGAGGCATGAATAAAACACTATGCTTTAATTTTCTCTTTGTACTCAAAGGAAAGGAAAGGTTAAATAAAATAACTTTAACTTTATTTACAAGCAATCAAATTATCAGCACTCAAATAGAAAACCAGAAACAGAATCTTCTCAATGATTCTTTCAACTGATCTCATTCAAATAGACAGGCTACAAAGGGTACTGAAAACACATCAATTGATAGATTACTCAGATGGAAGATTGAAGAAAAAGTACACAAAATAGACAATTTGTACATCAGACTGTTACATTTACGACAGAAGAAATCTCCTGATCTGAGGTCTAATCGTTAACTCTAACGACATAAATTTCTTAACTCCTGATTTGCATTTCACAGTTTATCATATATACGAAAGAAGGTTGTAATATTTCTTCTTTTAGAGCTCTAAGTGTAATACATGTATGTGAGAAATATCATTAGACAGCTACCCAAAGACCCCAAAAAGATACAAAAACTAAGACAAATTGAGGTCAACATTGGGTCTTCGGCAATAGACAGATGGTGTCTTCTATTTACATCATGTCAATCTCTTAATTGCCCTGATTCTAAAAAAAAGTTGTGAATAAATCTACGGAGAAAAAAAAAACCAGACAACCACTTACCTGACTTTGGAAATTATCACTTAATAATTCCATGGGTTTAAACCTGTAAAAACTCTTAAAGATTTAACCATGTAAATTCTATGTAATGAAATATATCTTTTTGTGGCAACCCATAAATTCATAAAGTAGTAAGCAATGTCATCATTGAATGTATAAGTGTGCAATCTATCGACATACATGTAATATTCAATTTATAAGTGAATACATCTATCGACATAACACTCAATGATTATTTTTCTGTTAACAGGAAACACAGATATTTAAAACCTATATCCCATGGGAGGAAGAACAGGGCTTTGGTCAGAGTAAACCACAAGCTCTATGTTTTGTTTCCAGGTTTACAAAAAATGAATTCATTTCATCTGATGCTATGTCTAAATTAAGACAGGTATTTACTTCATTTTATTATTTCAATGACATGTACATGATGTATGAATAAAAATAGATTTGGAGTATATATGTACCTCAACATGATCAATTAGATATCATAGCAATAGTATGACACAAAAAGCCAAAGGAGGTCAACACACAATACTAAGTTGCCCTGAGTGCAAAAAAAGTGTTAATAAATTTATTGATATATATAAAATTCAGAATGGAAATGGGGAATATGTCAAAGAGACAACAACCCGACCAAAGAGCACACAACAGCTGAAGGCCACCAATGGATCTTCAACACAGCAAGAAAATATATATAGCCTTATCATCAACACCAAATTGCAATTAGTAAAAAAAAAAACTTTAAAATGTAACAAAAGGTATCAGGTTGTTCAGCCCCTAAGTTGTTTCGACTTGGTCAGGAACAATTTGGGATGGATCGACATGAAAGCTAACAAAAGACTACCACTGACGAGGTTTCTTGCTTGGGACAGGCACATGAACATGTGGTGGGGTTAAACAATATAAGTTTTTTTTTTCCACCTCGGATTATAAGTTTTATTTTTGTTAATGATTTAAATATCTGAACTGGCTTCTTCCACCAATAAAAACTTACTGCCACAAAATAGCCAATATTGCTGTAAGAGGATTTAAACACCAATCAACCAATCAATAAATATCTGGACATTTTGTTCATATGATGGTTTAGAATACCATATGTCAAGACCTCAACATCTAATATTAAGTTTTCAGACTTAGAATAAGGCTAAGAATATGCAGGTTTAAATTATTGCTTATTTTACTTTCAATTTGATGTAAAAGAATCCTTAAACCATCAGGTCCTTTGGACAAAGTAATATTTTACATCCTTTAATTTCTCTAGAAAAATCCATCAGCTATCAGAACCCCTGAGGAAGAGAAAACTCCAGAGAGTCATCTGATGGATGCTAATTTAATACTTGAAAAATCCAACATTATATCACCAAAGATTTTCAACTTCTGTCGTGATGCTAGAGACACAGTATTTACCAAAGAAATAGATATTAAAATATGGTCAAAATGTGAGTATGTTAATAGCAGTTGTGTTAAAAGTTTCCTTTTATATCTATCTTCTGAATTCATACAAGAGGAGCTATTTGTCAAGAAGTAAGGTTTTTATAACTGGGCAAGCATATTAAAATGAAAATTAAAGAATATACTGTTTCAATGTGGAAATTTGAAGAAGATAAAACTAATCTTAAGGAACAACTGAATTAATTGAAATTGAATTTGACAGATAATTTTCGTCGTAGTTCCTTGTTCAGTGTTGTTACTTTGGTGCAGATAAAAAAAAAATGACTCCCAGTAGAGGTTAAAATCTAATTGGAAACCTTTATTGGAAATAGCTTCTTTTTTTTCCCAGAAAACGAAGTGAAATTAAAGCTAACCATGCAGGAATGTTTGATAAAATATATATGTTTAATGTTGTTAATGTGGTCCTAATTGAACATCCAATATGTCCCTAAAGAGGCTTCCAAAGGGTCAGATTTCAAAGATGTTTTTCTTTGAATCCATCAATGTTTTAGGATAGGGTTTCAAGGTAGAGGTGAAAAGTCATATTGTGTGACATTAATTTAAGTATCTGCCTAGTCTTTCTCAAAGGCAAGAAATAAAAATAAAAATTTGACCACTCTTTTCTATCTTAAAATCCCTCCTCCGAATGAAGAACATAAATACACTTGTTTTTTTTAGTGGATAAGGGGGTAAACCATAACAAATTTTATGTCTCATAGCCGAAAAATATTTTTTATGCCCCACCTAGGGGCATTATGTTTTTCGGTCTGTGCGTCTGTTCGTCCGTCCATCTGTTTGTTCGTCTGTCCATCTGTCCCGCTTCAGGTTAAAGTGTTTGGTTAAAGTTTTTGGTCAAGGTAGTTTTTGATGAAGTTGAAGTCCAATCAACTTGAAACCTACTACACATGTATCCTATGATATGATCTTTCTAATTTTATTGTCAATTTAGAGTTTTGACCCCAATTTCACAGTCCACTGAACATAGAAAATGATAGTGCCCGCTTCAGGTTAAAGTTTTTGTTCAAGGATAAGTTTTTGATGAAGTTGAAGTCCAATCAACTTGAAACCTAGTACACATGTTCCCTATGATATGATCTTTCTAATTTTATTGTCAAATTAGAGTTTTGACCCCAATTTCACAGTCCACTGAACATAGAAAATGATAATGCGAGTGGGGCATTTGTGTACTATGGACACATTCTTGTTTCTGCATGAATCTATAATATTAAATAAGGAGACCTATTTTTGTGTGTCACTTTTCTTTCTTTCAGATCAAACCATTAAATTAATCAATATGGCTATCTTCCCTAAAGGTAGGCAAACCATCAAATCAATCAATATGGCTCTCTTCCCAAAAGAAACGCAAGTCATCAAATCAATCATTATGGCTCTCTTCCCTAAAGGTAGGCAAACCATCAAATCAATCAATATGGCTCTCTTCCCTAAAGGTAGGCAAACCATCAAATCAATCAATATGGCTCTCTTCCCTAAAGGTAGGCAAACCATCAAATCAATCAATATGGCTCTCTTCCCTAAAGGTAGGCAAACCATCAAATCAATCAATATGGCTCTCTTCCCTAAAGGTAGGCAAACCATCAAATCAATCAATATGGCTCTCTTCCCTAAAGGTAGACAAACCATCAAATCAATCAATATCGCTCTCTTCCCTAAAGGTAGGCAAGTCATCAAATCAATCAATATGGCTCTCTTCCCTAAAGGTATGCAAACCATCAAATCAATCAAGATGGCTCTCTTCCCTAAAGGTAGGCAAGTCATCAAATCAATCAATATGGCTCTCTTCCCTAAAGGTAGGCAAACCATCAAATGAATCAATATTGCTCTCTTCCTTAAAGGTAGACAAACCATCAAATCAATCAATATCGCTCTCTTCCCTAAAGGTAGGCAAGTTATCAAATCAATCAATATGGCTCTCTTCCCTAAAGAAAGGCAAGTCATCAAATCAATCAATATGGCTCTCTTCCCTAAAGGTAGGCAAACCATCAAATCAATCAATATGGCTCTCTTCCCTAAAGAAAGGCAAGTCATCAAATCAATCAATATGGCTCTCTTCCCTAAAGGTAGGCAAACCATCAAATCAATCAATATGGCTCTCTTCCCTAAAGGTAGGCAAACCATCAAATCAATCAATATTGCTCTCTTCCCTAAAGGTAGGCAAACCATCAAATCAATCAATATGGCTCTCTTCCCAAAAGAAAGGCAAGTCATCAAATCAATCAATATGGCTCTCTTCCCTAAAGAAACGCAAGTCATAAAATCAATCAATATGGCTCTCTTCCCTAAAGGTAGGCAAACTATCAAATCAATCAATATGGCTCTCTTCCCTAAAGGTAGGCAAACCATCAAATCAATCAATATGGCTCTCTTCCCTAAAGGTAGGCAAACCATCAAATCAATCAATATGGCTCTCTTCCCTAAAGGTAGGCAAACCATCAAATCAATCAATATGGCTCTCTTCCCTAAAGGTAGGCAAACCATCAAATCAATCAATATGGCTCTCTTCCCTAAAGGTAGGCAAACCATCAAATCAATCAATATGGCTCTCTTCCCTAAAGGTAGACAAACCATCAAATCAATCAATATCGCTCTCTTCCCTAAAGGTAGGCAAGTCATCAAATCAATCAATATGGCTCTCTTCCCTAAAGAAAGGCAAGTCATCAAATCAATCAATATGGCTCTCTTCCCTAAAGGTAGGCAAACCATCAAATCAATCAATATGGCTCTCTTCCCTAAAGAAAGGCAAGTCATCAAATCAATCAATATGGCTCTCTTCCCTAAAGGTAGGCAAACCATCAAATCAATCAATATGGCTCTCTTCCCTAAAGGTAGACAAACCATCAAATCAATCAATATGGCTCTCTTCCCTAAAGGTAGGCAAGTCATCAAATCAATCAATATGGCTCTCTTCCCTAAAGAAAGGCAAGTCATCAAATCAATCAATATGGCTCTCTTCCCTAAAGGTAGGCAAACCATCAAATCAATCAATATGGCTCTCTTCCCTAAAGAAAGGCAAATCATCAAATCAATCAATATGGCTCTCTTCCCTAAAGGTAGGCAAACCATCAAATCAATCAATATGGCTCTCTTCCCTAAAGGTAGGCAAACCATCAAATCAATCAATATGGCTCTCTTCCCTAAAGGTAGACAAACCATCAAATCAATCAATATGGCTCTCTTCCCTAAAGGTAGGCAAGTCATCAAATCAATCAATATGGCTCTCTTCCCTAAAGGTAGACAAACCATCAAATCAATCAATATGGCTCTCTTCCCTAAAGAAAGGCAAGTCATCAAATCAATCAATTTGGCTCTCTTCCCTAAAGGTAGGCAAGTCATCAAATCAATCAATATGGCTCTCTTCCCTAAAGGTAGACAAACCATCAAATCAATCAATATGGCTCTCTTCCCTAAAGAAAGGCAAGTCATCAAATCAATCAATATGGCTCTCTTCCCTAAAGGTAGACAAACCATCAAATCAATCAATATGGCTCTCTTCCCTAAAGGTAGACAAACCATCAAATCAATCAATATGGCTCTCTTCCCTAAAGAAAGGCAAGTCATCAAATCAATCAATATGGCTCTCTTCCCTAAAGGTAGGCAAACCATCAAATCAATCAATATGGCTCTCTTCCCTAAAGGTAGGCAAGTCATCAAATCAATCAATATGGCTCTCTTCCCTAAAGAAAGGCAAGTCATCAAATCAATCAATATGGCTCTCTTCCCTAAAGGTAGACAAACCATCAAATCAATCAATATGGCTCTCTTCCCTAAAGAAAGGCAAGTCATCAAATCAATCAATTTGGCTCTCTTCCCTAAAGGTAGGCAAGTCATCAAATCAATCAATATGGCTCTCTTCCCTAAAGGTAGACAAACCATCAAATCAATCAATATGGCTCTCTTCCCTAAAGAAAGGCAAGTCATCAAATCAATCAATATGGCTCTCTTCCCTAAAGGTAGACAAACCATCAAGTCAATCAATATGGCTCTCTTCCCTAAAGGTAGACAAACCATAAAATCAATCAATATGGCTCTCTTCCCTAAAGAAAGGCAAGTCATCAAATCAATCAATATGGCTCTCTTCCCAAAAGGTAGGCAAACCATCAAATCAATCAATATGGCTCTCTTCCCTAAAGGTAGGCAAGTCATCAAATCAATCAATATGGCTCTCTTCCCTAAAGGTAGGCAAGTCATCAAATCAATCAATATGGCTCTCTTCCCTAAAGGTAGACAGTTTGTTATCCTAGGTAATCATTCTTCATGTTGGTTCAGTTGGGGAAATAATTCAGAAAACAAAATGATTTTTGGGTGTCCTTTCCGTCATCACCATTGGTTTTGCATTTTAAGCCTACTTCTAATGTTATTAGAGTCTCTCTTCCCATCTACCCAGTTTTTCAAATTTTATATTGGTTGGAAAATTCAAAGGGCTTTGATAAGTAGTAACAATGGTTGCTTTAATCATGAGCATATACAGGTGTACTGGCATATTCAAACTGTAATTGAGAAAATTTATGTGATTATTTTTTTCAGCTTTAGGACAAGACATGACAGCCATGATGTCAACAATCAAACCATCTTTTCCTGCCAAGTATAATAATTGTAAAGATGTCAACGATTTATCAAAAGCATGTTTATGCCATTATCACATATGTATTGGATGGTATCCATGTGGATTAAAATACTGCCGTGGAAAGGATTCCACAGGAAAGTATGTCAGTTACAGATGTGGAATAAAGACGTGTCGACGATTTATGTCATTTGACTTTGTAGCCAGACAGAAAATGTTCTGTTTGTGGGATTTTTAATATTTGTTAGATATAAGATTTGGTTGTATGACTGCTGTCTGATTAATACTTTGTTAATGGTTAAACTATCACAATTGTAAAACAAAATCAGTTTTTAACCAGATTTCCAACGGAAATATCAGTTATTGATTTGGGGATGTACGGGGGGGAGGCCAAACAGTGTACTTTCATTAACTTAAAATTGCTTTGATGAAATCTTTTCAAATTTAGATATGTTGTTTCCTGTGACTTAATGAAGGTCAAGTTCAAATTTCATGATTTTAGTTTTTATCGTGGTTGAGTTGTAGACTTTTCAGTAGCGAAAAGTGATACTTAGAGAGTTGTCCGTGCAATAACTTGATAACGCTTTGACAAAATCTTTTCAAATATAGATATGCTGTTTCCTGTGACTAAATGAAGGTCAAGTTCCATTTTCATGATTTTTTCACGATTTTAGCTTTTATCGTTGAGTTGTTGACCTTAAGTAGCGAAAAGTGATACTTCGAGCATTGTCTGTGCAATAACTTGAAAACACTTTGACGAAATCTTTTCAAATTTAGATATGTTGTTTCCTGTGACTAAATGAAGGTCTAAATCGATTTTCAAGATTTTAGCTTTTATCGTTGTTGAGTTGTTCACCTTTATGTAGGGAAAAGTGATACTTGGATTGATTTTGGCCTTTGCATTTCTGAACCCTACAAAACTTCATTTATTTTTTTAGTTGATCCTGTTTGGGGTTCCAGATTTGCAAATATCATTTTCATGCAGGAAAATCCAGTTTGCTGTCACTCTGACAGGCTCTTGTTATGATTGCTTTATGTCACATTAGGGCATTATAATATTTAAAACTCTTTATATCAAATTCAGTTACCTCATATTTCTTTTTTTGGATATATATTATCCCAAATAAAATAGCTTAAGATTTTGGGGAGGATTTTAGTGACAATATTTAAAATGATATTTAGACTAAGAAGCATCTTTTCCGTGATTTATATAGATGTTTTTAAGATTATTATTTTTTTATCAAATTTCTTTTACTTCATGGTGAGGAAATAATCTATAAATAAACTTAGTAAAAGATGCCTACCAACCTGGAATCATAGCTGTCTTCTATTAGGATAATGAGAATGAGATTATTTCTCAACGTTATTCTAATTGTTGTCGTAGGTTAATACATGTATTAGTTTCTGCATTTATAAATATGTGATTCTGTTCAGAGTCCATGCATAGGGGAAGTACAGGTCAGTCCTTAGTACATTTCTTTCACTTTTAGATGGCTAACATTTAGCAAACTGTGTCATACTACAAAATCATTCATTTGCAAAACATGACAATGATCAGTACTTTATTATTCTGGCCATCTCTTAACATTGATCTTAGGATGTCTTCTTATTTACAGGTTTAAAGTTTGAAAAAATCTTGTGAAAAACTAATATTTTCAGTGAAATCAAAGATGGCCATTGTTACTTAAACTTGGTTGTAACTTCAAGCAGGCCTGGGGTAATGGTAATTTGTAATTGTAATGCATTGTAATATTACATTTTTTAATGTAATGCAAAGTAATTTGTAATGCACATTTTCTGCATTACAATTACATGTAATGTAATGATTACTTTAGTTAAAAATCAATGTAATGCCTCCATTACTGTACATTACTTTTCATTACAAATTGGTAAAATACATAAAATTGAAGAATATAGTAAAATAAAAATAAAATATTAACAAAAACAAAAGAAAGTATTGAATAAAATTATTGTCACAGTTAATTACTGTATTAAATCATTATAGATAGTTTGCCCTTAAAAAATCTTCTAAAAAATAATTATTAAACAAAACTATATAGATGAATGGAAAAAATATGAAGATGAAATTTTCATAATTCTATACACACCTTACATGTATTTCAATGAAAGATTGAATATGTCAATCAACATTTCTACACCAAACTGTGGTTGTTATTTCACCTAATTAATATCAAAATGCTTTTATTGCAATCAAATCTTCTCAACCTATGTTTGTCCTCACAGAGCCCTTAAGCATTTAACAAGATAATCCTTTAATGGCACATTTATTATATCCCTTTGAAATCCCTTTATGATGTCTTAATGATTAAGTGATCAATGTTAGAAACAAAATTATGTGATAATTTATTTATTTTTCAAGTATTTGAAGTCGATGTCACTAACACTGTATATATATATGTACATATACCCCGGTAATATTTATCAATTTCTTATAAAAATCTGTTTTTTAAATGTTTTTAGTTTTTATATTGAAAAAGTAATGTGTAATGTAATGCATTACACAGGCAAAGTAATTGTAATGTAATGCATTACATGTGAGAAAAAATGTAATTGTAATTGTAATGGAAGAATCACAAAGTAATTGTAATGTAATGCATTACATTGTAATGTAATGCATTACATTGCAATGTAATGGCCCCAGGCCTGACTTCAAGGTTTGTTTTATTATTTGTAATTGTGTATTTTCAGTCAATATAAACTATAGCAATCTCATCATGTTATGCATTTCATTTATATACTGGTGATCAGTAGTAATTGAAAGGTGAGTTGTCATCAGGTTAGAGCCTCTAGTGTTAACTTTGCCAAAACATTAGAAATGCTGGTCATTTGTAAACCAATCTAATGTACCAATTGTTTTGTAGGTTGATTTCTGAATGTAATAATGTGATAATTAAGTCCCTTTATGATGGTGCTATTTCCGTTGTCAAACAAGGAATTATTGTCATGTTGTAGCCAAATTATAAGTTTGTAGGTTTTATATTGTTATAAAGAGATATGATGATGTTATTATACCTTGTAGTAAACTGATTACATCATGTTTTAATGTTCATTTATGGAAGCAGAACTTCTATTCTTATTTTGTACTTGTCAGTAGAGGAATGACACCAATTTTAGACACACTTCACCAGTTATATATGTTTTTTTGCCCCCGCCGTAGCGGTGGGGGCATTAAGTTTTACCCTTGTCCGTCTGAACGTACAAAGGTACGTCCCAAAATTGTTTTCTGTTCTCTAACTTGAGTTTGCCTCAACCAAATATTATGAAACTTATACACAATGCTTATTACCACAAAACACAGATCAAGTTTGAATTTTGATAGTGTCACGTTAACTGTTCTAGAGTAATGCCCCTTTATAAATGGAAAAATTGCAAAATTGAATCAACTACAATCAATGCTTTATACAATGCAATGTTTAATTTTGACTTCCACTGATAAAACACAGATCAAGTTGAATTTGGGTAGTGTCACTTTAACCATTATTGAGTTATGCCCCTTTATAAATCGAAAGATTGCAAAATTTTTAGTTTCCATTCTGTAACTTAAGTTTGTCCCAACCAAACATTATGAAACCTATACACAATATTCATTATTACAAAACTAAGATCAAGTACACATTTTTTGTTTCCGTTTTCTAACTATAGTTTGCCTCAACCAAATGTTATGAAACTTATACACAATGCTTATTACTACATAATACAGATTAAGTACGAAATTTGGTGAGAACACTTTTACCATTCTTGAGTTATGTCCCTTTATAAACATAAAAATTGCTGAATTTTTCGTTTCTGTTCTCTAACTTTAGTTTGTCTCAACCAAATGTTATAAAACTTATACACAACCGTTCTAGAGTTATGCGTGTTTACAAATAGAAAAATTGCTGAATTTTTAGTTTCTGTTCTCTACTTAAGTTAGCCTCAACCAAATGTTATAAGACTTACACACAATGCTTATTACCACAAAACTCAGATTAAGTTCAAATTTGGGTAGCGTTACTTTTACCGTTCTTCAGTTATGTCCCTTTATAACTATATGCTATGCAAGCGGGGGCATCATCTGTGTCCACATGTGGACACTATCCACATTTATTATTGATAATTCCAAGTTAAAAATATATATATAAAAGACGATTAAAAGTTATATGAAGCAGTTTCTAATCAATGTCAATGAATGTTCTAGGGGTAGTTTATTTTGAACTTTCCATCAACTGTCAAGATGAAGAACTGCAATGGAAGTGTTCTTTTTTTTATTTCATAGTATTTCGTTGGAAAATGTCTAGTATACATCCATGTCTTTTTTTTATTTTAAAGATTCAAAATGTATTAATGATTTTACTGTGTTGTTTACAATGCATGAAAATTCCACATTGCCTAGTTCATTATTAAAATATACATGATCATGATATATGTTCAAAATCTTTACATAAAATCTACTTATTGTCAAAATATTTTAAACTTTCGTAATAACATTTTTATTTTACTTTTATACATGTATACATGTATTTGAAAAATAAATGTGAAAATAAAACATTTCATAGATTTTTTTTCTTAAATGTCTGAAGAACTTTTAACTCCATTAGAGAAGATTCAGAGGTACATGCCACACAACCAGTGGCTCTAAGAACCTGATATATCCACCTGGCAAATTATCCAGTGGAATATTCAGCATGAAACACTAAAGTATCATTTAAGTCAAGTTTGATGTAAAGTCTTTTAAGAAAGGCTACATATGGTGAAACCTGCCTCAACAGAATACCACAAGGACTGTACCTGCCTCAACAGAGTACCACAAGGACTGTACCTGCCTCAATAGAATACCACAAGGACTGTACCTGCCTCAACAGAGTACCACAAGGACTGTACCTGCCTCAACAGAATACCACAAGGACTGTACCTGCCTCAACAGAATACCACAAGGACTGTACCTGCCTCAACAGAATACCACAAGGACTGTACCTGCCTCAACAGAATACCACAAGGACTGTACCTGCCTCAACAGAATTCCACAAGGACTGTACCTGCCTCAACAGAATACCACAAGGTCTGTACCTGCCTCAACAGAATACCACAAGGACTGTACCTGCCTCAACAGAATACCACAAGGACTGTACCTGCCTCAACAGAATACCACAAGGACTGTACCTGCCTCAACAGAATACCACAAGGACTGTACCTGCCTCAACAGAATTCCACAAGGACTGTACCTGCCTCAACAGAATACCACAAGGACTGTACCTGCCTCAACAGAATACCACAAGGACTGTAGGATTTGTTAAGTTTTGACAGGTGTTCCGTTTTGTCTTTTGTCCTTTTGACCAGAAAATGAAAGACTACAAAGTAAGGACTATTATTATGATGTATAGAAAAGTCTTTAGTAGATGTTTATTGATAAAACTCAAGTTAAAATATACAATTGAGGAGGATGGTTTATGATTTACAATTGGCAATTACAGGATCTTAAGCAGTATTTAGTGTCAACAAACCTGCCTACTTCAGAATCTCCTTCTGGGAATTTTGGTTCTCTTTTACAGTTCATAAATGTTTTTTAATCAAAATTTGATATGGTTTTAAATGAGTATATATGTTTAAACATTATTTTAACTCCACTAAATTGCTGATTTTAGGTATTCAAGTTATATAAATGTGAGGATTTTAAGAGTGGGGGTCAACACCTCTCAAAGGGGAAATCCCTGTAAATCTGGAAAGTTGGCAGGGACAAATCTGCACTATGATTGTGAAACTTGAGATAATTACATAGAAAACAATATTTACATACTGACAATGCGACAAGACAAAACAATATCTAATTGTGATATAGAAGATAATTATATTGAAAACTTTCACTTGGAAGAAAATTACATTGAAAATATCAACAATGTGACAAGGGAGAAAATTACATTGACAACACAATATCTTATTGAGACAAGGGAGATAATTAAATTCACATCTTATTGTGACAAGGGAGATAATTGCCACAATACTATATAATCATGACAAAGGAGATAATACATTGACAACACAATATCTAATTTGGACAAGGGAGATCATTGCATTGCCACAACAATATCAAATCATGACAAGAGAGATAATGACATTGAAATCACAATATCTAATCATGAATTGACATCACAATATCTAGTTGTGACAAGGGAGATAATAGCATTGACTTCACAATGTCTAGTCATGATAAGGGTGCTAATAACATTGACAACACATTATCTAATTTTGACAAGGAAGATAATTGCATTACCACAACAATATCAAATCGTGACGAGAGATAATAACATTGACATCACAATATCTAGTCTTAACAAGAGAGATAATTACAATGACATCACAATATCTAATTGTGACAAGGGAGATAATTACCATGACATCACACTATCTAATTGTGACAAGGGAGATAGTTACCATAAGATCACAATATCTAATTGTGACAAGGGAGATAGCTACCATAATATCACAATATCTAATTGCGACAAAGAAGATAATTAAATGGACTGCAAGGATTGTTTTGCTTGGAGTCAGAATAATGTCTTTTGAAAAGGTGACATGTCTTCCTGCAAATGGTTTCCTTGTGAACTTGCAGGTGAAAAATCTGTCTCAGTATCTTGGTCTAGTACAAATCAGGGTTTATATTCATTATCATCCTAATTATGCATTTAATTTGCCACTGGATGTTAAACAGCCATCCATCAATCCGTCCAATTGTGACAAGGGAGATAATTATATTGACCACCCAGATAATGGAGATAATTTATACATTGACAAAACAATATATAATTGTGACATAAAGAGAATAAAGAGAAAATAATAATGCCAAATCAATATCTATATTGTGAAAAAGCAGATAATTTTATTTACATTGTGAGAAGGGAGATAATTACATCATTTATACCAAAGCTATTTTGTGACCACTGTGTTGCCACTGCAAATATCCTGTTATATGGGACAACAGAAGTCCATGTATTGCATTTAATAAGGTGTACAATTTCATATCCTGTAGAAGAATCTTTAGAATTCTGCTGAGCCATTTCAAATGAATTGCAGATTAATGAGAGTGTGATGCAGACGACACAGTAATTCCTGTTTTCCTACAGTTTGTCAGGCAATACAATGTTCCATAAATACAACATGATGCTTAAGCGTAATTTTTTGGACAAAAAAAGAAACAAACATTCAGACATCATTTTACTCTATAATCAAGCTTTGTACATTTCAATATATAAATAACAATAAAATAAATTTACAGTTGGGAAATCATTTCACAATTATATTACTCATTTCATTTATGAATTAATTTAAGTCTATCATTTTTGTAACTACCATGAATCTTGTGAATTATTTTGATTTATCCTGTAACTCCACTCCTTTCTTAATATTAACTATACAAAGTCTGTAATGTGTTGATAGTTTTACAGTATTTTCAGTTGTCAGCTTTTGATCTGCGGGTTCATTTTCATAATCCAATTTACTGTTTCTTGTAATAATATCATGTTGTAGTGGCTAAAAAAATACTATATATATAAAACATACTTGTACTGAAATATAAAGTACACAAAATCAATATGTATACTGAGGGCTGTTCAATTAAACCATACATTGGACCCAGGGAAGGCTCTTTGAAATCTCAAATATTGGTGGTTGTCAAGTAGAGTGAAAAAGTAAGTGAAATTCTAAATTTGCCCTTATGGGTTGTTTCTCCATTTTAAAAGTAATTCATCATTGAGTTCCATCCCACATATTTCGGAAAGAAAACTACAACAGAAGATGAGTTGTAAATAGATTCTCCTTTTCATTTATTTGCTAAGTGATAGGATTTTACAATGAATAAAAGGAGATGTGTGCTATCCCTTTTATCCTTAACTTATGATGGTTAAGGTAAATCAACTCAAAGTCTGTTGTGGATTTATATGATGCTTTTGTATGGGATCATAATGGTATGGTTTCATCAAAGTTAGACAGCAGTTTTAATTGAGAATGAGCAACAAAATGGGTACCACTAGTGTAACAGGCACTTCTAATCCTTCCAGAACACGTGAAATTTAGTTTTAATGGGTTTGTGTAGCTTTTGCTTCAGTTTTTTGATGTGTATTTTGTACTATTTCATTTTTCAATTCAGTGTGTTGTTAATATTTGTAATGCTCTTGTCTGTGTTTTGTCATGAAAACCCTAGAATTAACATTTGGTAAAATTTAAGCCAAGGGATAGAGATTTTACCAATGTATTATAAGTTCGGTGAAGTTTGAGTTGCTCAATCTCTAGTTTTTGATGTTGTTTTGTTGACCACTGCTGTTTTTCTGATTTACATCTATTATGAAAATGAAGGTAATACTTAGCTTACTCTTACATACCTTGCTATTCCTTTGAATGTTCTCAGTTTCTGTGCAAATTCATCAATATCCACAGAGTTAACAAAATTCCCAGCACATGTACAATACTTCGCCATGTTGCCCTCTTTAACCTATATATTTTACAGAAGATAAGTTAATAAAACAATATTAGATCCCCTACCCTCATATAGTATAGATGTTTTGAAATATGGACATAACTAAAGAGAGGATATCTTCATTACAGATACCTGAGCCTTAAAAGTTAACACAAAAATTTATCAAACTATTTAAGTATGAAATGTAGGTCAAAGTGCTATCAACCAATGACATATTGCAGTGATAAATATGACTAACATATCATAAGGAGCTTAGGATTTGAACATAAACAGTTTCCTTCATATTCATAATATGATGTAGACAAAATAATGCACAGGCGTATATGTCTTCCCAGCTTAATTGATTATACCTGAATAAGATATGTTTAGGAATACTTCTATTATGGCAAATCTTGATAAGAGAGAGGCGAAATATACAAAAGGGACATTCAAAACTCATAAGTCGAAAATAATCTGACAATGCCATAGCTTAAAAAGAAAAAGATAGTTTCTGTTTAATTAAATCGCAACTTTTATAAAGTCAGGACAATTTAGCATCTTTGTATTTAGGTTGGTGCCTCATTAAAATATTGCCACTTAATAAAAATAAAAAGATGAGGTATTTTACTTTGTGCAGTATTGAACTTCGAAGTACATATTCATATAGCTCTTGATCTTCCTGCATCACTTTTTATAACAAAAAATGGTAATGAAAATCTAACTGTCAAAACCTTACCCCTTGACACTTGGTACACTTTAAATCTTGAAGTACATAACCCATAGACTTCCGATGTATGGAATCTAATAAGTTCTGTTCTATCTCAGTTATATCATAGACATTGTGGCACTGGATACAGGACCATGGACATCTGAAAAAACCATGACCTATATATAACATTCTGTTAGGATTATAATATAGACATTATGGCATTGGATACAGGACCATGGACACCTGAAAAAACCATGACTTGTATGTAACATTTCATGTTGGTTATATCAGACATGTATGGCATTGGATACAGGACCATGGACACCCGAAAAAACCATGACATATATACATATATAACATTCTTTTTGGGTTATATCATAGATCTGTATGGCATTGGATACAG